ATCCTGGACCGCCCAGCACGATCGTGTTCGCCACAATCCTAGATAGCTTGGGACGAGATTCCAGCTCTTTTTGCCTTCAAACGGGCCCGCCGCATGAAGAACCGTCCCCATATAAGGGCGTTTGTGAGCCCGGGAAGCTGCGAAATCCGTACCGGTATAAAATGTGAAGCAATGTTACTCGGATCCTGGACCGCCCAGCACGATCGTGTTTGCCACAATCCTAGATACCTTGGGACGAGATTCCAGCTCTTTTTGCCTTCAAACGGGCCCGCCGCATGAAGAACCGTCCCCATATAAGGGCGTTTGTGAGCCCGGGAAGCTGCGAAATCCGTACCGGTATAAAATGTGAAGCAATGTTACTCGGATCCTGGACCGCCCAGCACGATCGTGTTTGCCACAATCCTAGATACCTTGGGACGAGATTCCAGCTCTTTTTGCCTTCAAACGGGCCCGCCGCATGAAGAACCGTCCCCATATAAGGGCGTTTGTGAGCCCGGGAAGCTGCGAAATCCGTACCGGTATAAAATGTGAAGCAATGTTACTCGGATCCTGGACCGCCCAGCACGATCGTGTTTGCCACAGTCCTAGATAGCTTGGGACGAGATTCCAGCTCTTTTTCCTTCAAACGAGCCCGCCGCATAAAGAACCGTCCCCATATAAGGGCGTTTGTGAGCCCCGGAAGCTGGGAAATCCGTACCGGTATAAAATGTGAAGCAATGTTACTCGGATCCTGGACCGCCCAGCACGATCGTGTTTGCCACAATCCTAGATAGCTTGGGACGAGATTCCAGCTCTTTTTGCCTTCAAACGGGCCCGCCGCATGAAGAACCGTCCCCATATAAGGGCGTTTGTGAGCCCGGGAAGCTGCGAAATCCGTACCGGTATAAAATGTGAAGCAATGTTACTCGGATCCTGGACCGCCCAGCACGATCGTGTTTGCCACAGTCCTAGATAGCTTGGGACGAGATTCCAGCTCTTTTTCCTTCAAACGAGCCCGCCGCATAAAGAACCGTCCCCATATAAGGGCGTTTGTGAGCCCCGGAAGCTGGGAAATCCGTACCGGTATAAAATGTGAAGCAATGTTACTCGGATCCTGGACCGCCCAGCACGATCGTGTTTGCCACAATCCTAGATAGCTTGGGACGAGATTCCAGCTCTTTTTGCCTTCAAACGGGCCCGCCGCATGAAGAACCGTCCCCATATAAGGGCGTTTGTGAGCCCGGGAAGCTGCGAAATCCGTACCGGTATAAAATGTGAAGCAATGTTACTCGGATCCTGGACCGCCCAGCACGATCGTGTTTGCCACAGTCCTAGATAGCTTGGGACGAGATTCCAGCTCTTTTTCCTTCAAACGAGCCCGCCGCATAAAGAACCGTCCCCATATAAGGGCGTTTGTGAGCCCCGGAAGCTGGGAAATCCGTACCGGTATAAAATGTGAAGCAATGTTACTCGGATCCTGGACCGCCCAGCACGATCGTGTTTGCCACAATCCTAGATAGCTTGGGACGAGATTCCAGCTCTTTTTGCCTTCAAACGGGCCCGCCGCATGAAGAACCGTCCCCATATAAGGGCGTTTGTGAGCCCGGGAAGCTGCGAAATCCGTACCGGTATAAAATGTGAAGCAATGTTACTCGGATCCTGGACCGCCCAGCACGATCGTGTTTGCCACAATCCTAGATACCTTGGGACGAGATTCCAGCTCTTTTTGCCTTCAAACGGGCCCGCCGCATGAAGAACCGTCCCCATATAAGGGCGTTTGTGAGCCCGGGAAGCAGCGAAATCCGTACCGGTATAAAATGTGAAGCAATGTTACTCGGATCCTGGACCGCCCAGCACGATCGTGTTTGCCACAATCCTAGATACCTTGGGACGAGATTCCAGCTCTTTTTGCCTTCAAACGGGCCCGCCGCATGAAGAACCGTCCCCATATAAGGGCGTTTGTGAGCCCGGGAAGCTGCGAAATCCGTACCGGTATAAAATGTGAAGCAATGTTACTCGGATCCTGGACCGCCCAGCACGATCGTGTTTGCCACAGTCCTAGATAGCTTGGGACGAGATTCCAGCTCTTTTTCCTTCAAACGAGCCCGCCGCATAAAGAACCGTCCCCATATAAGGGCGTTTGTGAGCCCCGGAAGCTGGGAAATCCGTACCGGTATAAAATGTGAAGCAATGTTACTCGGATCCTGGACCGCCCAGCACGATCGTGTTTGCCACAATCCTAGATAGCTTGGGACGAGATTCCAGCTCTTTTTGCCTTCAAACGGGCCCGCCGCATGAAGAACCGTCCCCATATAAGGGCGTTTGTGAGCCCGGGAAGCTGCGAAATCCGTACCGGTATAAAATGTGAAGCAATGTTACTCGGATCCTGGACCGCCCAGCACGATCGTGTTTGCCACAATCCTAGATACCTTGGGACGAGATTCCAGCTCTTTTTGCCTTCAAACGGGCCCGCCGCATGAAGAACCGTCCCCATATAAGGGCGTTTGTGAGCCCGGGAAGCAGCGAAATCCGTACCGGTATAAAATGTGAAGCAATGTTACTCGGATCCTGGACCGCCCAGCACGATCGTGTTTGCCACAATCCTAGATACCTTGGGACGAGATTCCAGCTCTTTTTGCCTTCAAACGGGCCCGCCGCATGAAGAACCGTCCCCATATAAGGGCGTTTGTGAGCCCGGGAAGCTGCGAAATCCGTACCGGTATAAAATGTGAAGCAATGTTACTCGGATCCTGGACCGCCCAGCACGATCGTGTTTGCCACAGTCCTAGATAGCTTGGGACGAGATTCCAGCTCTTTTTCCTTCAAACGAGCCCGCCGCATAAAGAACCGTCCCCATATAAGGGCGTTTGTGAGCCCCGGAAGCTGGGAAATCCGTACCGGTATAAAATGTGAAGCAATGTTACTCGGATCCTGGACCGCCCAGCACGATCGTGTTTGCCACAATCCTAGATAGCTTGGGACGAGATTCCAGCTCTTTTTGCCTTCAAACGGGCCCGCCGCATGAAGAACCGTCCCCATATAAGGGCGTTTGTGAGCCCGGGAAGCTGCGAAATCCGTACCGGTATAAAATGTGAAGCAATGTTACTCGGATCCTGGACCGCCCAGCACGATCGTGTTTGCCACAATCCTAGATACCTTGGGACGAGATTCCAGCTCTTTTTGCCTTCAAACGGGCCCGCCGCATGAAGAACCGTCCCCATATAAGGGCGTTTGTGAGCCCGGGAAGCTGCGAAATCCGTACCGGTATAAAATGTGAAGCAATGTTACTCGGATCCTGGACCGCCCAGCACGATCGTGTTCGCCACAATCCTAGATAGCTTGGGACGAGATTCCAGCTCTTTTTGCCTTCAAACGGGCCCGCCGCATGAAGAACCGTCCCCATATAAGGGCGTTTGTGAGCCCGGGAAGCTGCGAAATCCGTACCGGTATAAAATGTGAAGCAATGTTACTCGGATCCTGGACCGCCCAGCACGATCGTGTTTGCCACAATCCTAGATACCTTGGGACGAGATTCCAGCTCTTTTTGCCTTCAAACGGGCCCGCCGCATGAAGAACCGTCCCCATATAAGGGCGTTTGTGAGCCCGGGAAGCTGCGAAATCCGTACCGGTATAAAATGTGAAGCAATGTTACTCGGATCCTGGACCGCCCAGCACGATCGTGTTTGCCACAATCCTAGATACCTTGGGACGAGATTCCAGCTCTTTTTGCCTTCAAACGGGCCCGCCGCATGAAGAACCGTCCCCATATAAGGGCGTTTGTGAGCCCGGGAAGCTGCGAAATCCGTACCGGTATAAAATGTGAAGCAATGTTACTCGGATCCTGGACCGCCCAGCACGATCGTGTTTGCCACAGTCCTAGATAGCTTGGGACGAGATTCCAGCTCTTTTTCCTTCAAACGAGCCCGCCGCATAAAGAACCGTCCCCATATAAGGGCGTTTGTGAGCCCCGGAAGCTGGGAAATCCGTACCGGTATAAAATGTGAAGCAATGTTACTCGGATCCTGGACCGCCCAGCACGATCGTGTTTGCCACAATCCTAGATACCTTGGGACGAGATTCCAGCTCTTTTTGCCTTCAAACGGGCCCGCCGCATGAAGAACCGTCCCCATATAAGGGCGTTTGTGAGCCCGGGAAGCTGCGAAATCCGTACCGGTATAAAATGTGAAGCAATGTTACTCGGATCCTGGACCGCCCAGCACGATCGTGTTCGCCACAATCCTAGATAGCTTGGGACGAGATTCCAGCTCTTTTTGCCTTCAAACGGGCCCGCCGCATGAAGAACCGTCCCCATATAAGGGCGTTTGTGAGCCCGGGAAGCTGCGAAATCCGTACCGGTATAAAATGTGAAGCAATGTTACTCGGATCCTGGACCGCCCAGCACGATCGTGTTTGCCACAATCCTAGATACCTTGGGACGAGATTCCAGCTCTTTTTGCCTTCAAACGGGCCCGCCGCATGAAGAACCGTCCCCATATAAGGGCGTTTGTGAGCCCGGGAAGCTGCGAAATCCGTACCGGTATAAAATGTGAAGCAATGTTACTCGGATCCTGGACCGCCCAGCACGATCGTGTTTGCCACAATCCTAGATACCTTGGGACGAGATTCCAGCTCTTTTTGCCTTCAAACGGGCCCGCCGCATGAAGAACCGTCCCCATATAAGGGCGTTTGTGAGCCCGGGAAGCTGCGAAATCCGTACCGGTATAAAATGTGAAGCAATGTTACTCGGATCCTGGACCGCCCAGCACGATCGTGTTTGCCACAGTCCTAGATAGCTTGGGACGAGATTCCAGCTCTTTTTCCTTCAAACGAGCCCGCCGCATAAAGAACCGTCCCCATATAAGGGCGTTTGTGAGCCCCGGAAGCTGGGAAATCCGTACCGGTATAAAATGTGAAGCAATGTTACTCGGATCCTGGACCGCCCAGCACGATCGTGTTTGCCACAATCCTAGATAGCTTGGGACGAGATTCCAGCTCTTTTTGCCTTCAAACGGGCCCGCCGCATGAAGAACCGTCCCCATATAAGGGCGTTTGTGAGCCCGGGAAGCTGCGAAATCCGTACCGGTATAAAATGTGAAGCAATGTTACTCGGATCCTGGACCGCCCAGCACGATCGTGTTCGCCACAATCCTAGATAGCTAGAGACGAGATTCCAGCTCTTTTTGCCTTCAAACGGGCCCGCCGCATGAAGAACCGTCCCCATATAAGGGCGTTTGTCCGCTTCCATCACCCCGCCCCATTCTCCCGCCTTCCATCAACCCGCCCCATTCTCCCTCCTTCCATCACCCCACCCCATTCTCCCTCCTTCCATCTTCCCGCCCCATTCTCCCGCATTCCATCACCCCGCCCCATTCTCCCGCTTTCCATCACCCAACCCCCTTCTCCCGCTTTCCATCACCCCGCCCTATTCTCCCACTTTCCATCACCCCGCCCCATTCTCCCTCTTTCATTCACCCGCCCAATTCTCCCGCTTTCCATCACCTCGCCCCATTCTCCCGCTATACATCACCCCGCCCCATTCTCTCGCTTTGAATTTCTCTGCCCCATTCTCCCGCCTTCCATCACCCCGCCCCATTCTCCCGCTTTCCATCACCCCGCCCCATTCCCATTATTCCTCTTTCCATCACCCCGCCCCATTCTCCCGCTTTCCATCACCCCGCCCCAGTCTCCCGCTTTCCATCACCCCGCCCCATTCTCCTTCTTTCCATCACCCCGACCCATTCTCCCGCTTTCCATCACCCCGCCCCATTCTCCCGCTTTCCATCACCCCGCCCCATTCTCCCTCTTTCCATCACCCCGCCCCATTCTCCCGTTTTCCATGACCCCAACCCATTCTCCCGCTTTCCATCACCCTGCCTAATTCTCCCCCTTTCCATCACCCCGCCCCATTCCCCCTCTTTCCATCACCCCACCCTGTTCTCCTGTTTTCCATCACCCCGCCCCATTCTCCCGCTTTCCATCACCCCGCCCCATTCTCCCGCTTTCCATCACCCCGCCCCATTCTCCCGCTTTCCATCACCCCGCCCCATTCTCCCGCTTTCCATCAACCCACCCCAATCTCCCACTTTCCATCACCCCGCCCCATTCTCCCGCTTTCCATCACCCCTACCCATTCTCCATCTTTCCATCACCCCGCCCCATTCTCACGCTTCCCATCACCCCGCCCCTTTCTCCCGCTTTCCATCACCCCGCCCCATTCTCCCGCTTTCCATCACCCCGCTCCATTCTCCCGCTTCCCATCACCCCGCCCCTTTCTCCCGCTTTCCATCACCCTGCCCCATTCTCCATCTTTCCATCACCCCTGCCCCATTCTCCCTCTTTCCATCACCCCGCCCCATTCTTTCTCTTTCCATCACCCCGCCCCATTCTCCCTCTTTCCATCACCCCGCCCCATTCTCCAGCATTCCAGCACCCCGCCCTATTCTCCCGCTTTCCATCACCCCGCCCCATTCTCCCGCTTTCCTTCACCCCGCCCCATTCTCCCGCCTTCCATCACCCGGCCACATTCTCCCACCTTCCATCATCCCGCCCCAATCTCCCTCCTTCCATCACCCCACCCAATTCTCCCTCCTTCCATCACCCCGCCCCAATCTCCCACTTTCCATCACCCCGCCCCATTCTCCCGCTTTCCATCACCCCTCCCCATTCTCACGCTTTCCATCATCCCGCCCCATTCTTCCTCTTTCCATCACCCCACCCCATTCTCCCGCTTTCCATCACTCCGCCCCATTCTCCCGCTTTCCATCACCCAACCCCATTCTCCCGCTTTCCATCACCCCGCCCCATTCTCCCGCTATCCACCACCCCGCCCCATTCTCCCGCTTTCCATCACCCCGCCCCATTCTCCCGCTTTCCATCACCCCGCTCCATTCTCCCTCTTTCCATCACCCCGCCCCATTCTCCCTCCTTCCATCACCCCGCCCCATTCTCCCGCTTTCTGTCACCCCGCCCCATTCTCCCACTTTCCATCACCCCGCCCCATTCTCCCGCTTTCCATCACCCCGCCCCATTCTCCCGCCTTCCATCACCCCACCCCATTCTCCCTCCTTCCATCACCCCACCCCATTCTCCCGCTTTCCATCACTCCGCCCCATTCTCCCGCTTTCCATCACCCCGCCCCATTCTCCCGCTTTCCATCACCTCGCCCTATTCTCCCGCTTTCCATCACCCCGCTCCATTCTCCCTCTTTCCATCACCCCGCCCCATTCTCCCTCCTTCCATCACCCCGCCCCATTCTCCCGCTTTCTATCACCCCGCCCCATTCTCCCGCTTTCCATCATCCGCCCCATTCTCCCGCTTTCCATCACCCCGCCCCATTCTCCCGCTTTCCATCACCCTGCCCTTTTCTCCCGCTTTCCATCACCCCGCCCCATTCTCCCGCTTTCCATCACCCCGCCCCATTCTTCCGCTTTCCATCACCCCGCCCCATTCTCTTGCTTTCCATTACCCCGCCCCATTTGTTATAGTCACAGTAGGCTCCAATGTGCCTAAAACGAAAGATAGAGTGCACAGTCGGATTTCTTCACAGCGGCTTCAAACGTTCATATCGTTCTGGTCAGAGCTTCAAATGACTTGATTCAACTTGGATCTGGAGCTTCTTATTGTCGCCTAGAACAGGCAATTTAGATCACACGATTGGACCAAGCATTGACGACACAGCGTTGATTTGAACGAACGGCACTATGGCAGCCACTATAGTCTTAGAACACAAGATAGGAAGAGTTAGGAAGAGTTACGAGTTGGGAATGACTCCCATCTCCTACAAACCCCAAGAGCCGAGGTACAGTGATGTGGAACAGTGCCACACTGTCCCCAACCACGAAGGGTCTCGAAACTACCCTTCACTAGGGCCTACACCAAGTGAAATGTTACACTACACAAAGTAATGTAACTATCTTCAATATCTTGAGGTGTACCCTTTTGGCGAGCTTCGAAATCACTTGAGGCTTGACACCAAGGCTCGGGCTCTTCATCACAAACTCATCCTTGAGTTCTTGATGGGTCTGCTGCACATACCTGCGACACACCGAACGTTCGACACAGGGCAAAATAGAAACCGCGCACGACAAAATAAAAACCGCGCGCGAGACACAAACGACCGCGTAACACGCGTCTAGCGATAACTCGCTATTGACTCAACACACACACTCGACTTCATGACTCAACATTCACACACTATTATAAGCATGAAATATATATTATCCCATGCCCTCATACCATTCCATACACATACACATGCACGCATACGGATAACAAGCCGAGTGCAAACCAAAGGGTTGCACCAACAAACTCCCCCTCGGATTGTTGGCCTTAGGATATGTTGCTCTCTCAGTTCAGAGCCATCCCAGCCAGCTTGCAACACTTCCAATGCTGCTGCTCCACCAGCCTCTTAGTCATCATGTCAGCTGGCTGCCCCGTGGTCTTCACGTAGCGCAACTCAACTTCACCCGCGGTTACCATGCTCCTCGTCCAATGCCACTTCACCCTCATGTGCTTCGTAAGTCCATGCAACACAGGGTTCTTAGCAAGAGCAATGGCACCCTGGCTGTCACAATACAGTGGGGTAGGTCCTTGCTGCTCCTCCCCCAATTCAGCCAACAAACGCCGCTGCCACACAATCTCCCATACGGCACGGAAGAGTGCCATGTACTCGGACTCCACCGAGCTCAAAGTTTGGTCAACCTGCTTCTTGCTCTCCCAAGCAGTTGGGCCTCCACCAACACAGCATATGAAGCCTCCCACGCTTGTCATGTCCTCTGGTTCTGATGCATATGAAGCATCCGAGTATGCGGTGAGGAACAAACGCCCGGGTTCAACACCATCCGCGCCCTTTTGGCGCCTTTGTGCCGCCGCCGAGTATTGCAGCCCAACGGTCGGTGTTTGGCCAAGATACTTGGCCACCCTCATTCCAGCTGCTACCTGCTCCTCATTAGGGCATTGCACAACACTAGCCAGCTGCTCGGTAGCAAACGCGACGTCCGGTCGGGTGTTTACCGCCGCATACATGAGGCTGCCCACCAACGGGTGAAATCGGCGCCTCTCCTCTTCTCCAACGCTCTCCTCCTCTGGCCCCTTCACACACTTGAACCCAGAGGGAAAGGGAGTAGCCACATGACCTTCACTCTGGCCGAAGTTTGCAGCCAACGCCTCCAGGTACTTCCGTTGGTGCACTCGCATGCTCCGCTTCTCCACGTCTCGTTCGATGTGGAGCCCAAGGTAGAAGTTCACGTCACCAAGGGACTTGCACTTGAACTTGTCATGCAGCTTCCGCATCACCTCCTTCACAAGGTCAGAGGAGGGTGAGAATATGAGAATGTCATCCACATAAACCACCATGAAGCTCCTCTACTCCCCCTCGCCAAGCATGAACAAGGAGTGATCGGCCGTTGAGGGAGTGAAGCCGATCTCCTCCAACACTTCGCGCAGCTTCATGTACCATTGCCTATGGGCCTGCTTCAGCCCATAGAGGGCCTTCTTTAGCTTCCACACTTTGCCACTACCATCATCAAACCCCTCTGGCTGCGCCATAAAAATCTCCTCCTCAAGGATGTCGTTAAGGAATGCCGTTACGATGTCCATTTGTTTTACTACCCATCCTTTGATGGCGGCTCCCGCAAATAGGTTTCGCAGCGTCGTCGGCTTCACCACAGGGGCAAACAGCTCCTTGAAGTCCACCTTCTCCTTCTGCTGGTACCCCTTGGCTACAAGCCTAGACTTGTAACGCTCGATCTTGCCGTCGGCATCCGACTTGATTTTGAAGAGCCACTTGGACGTTATCGCCGTACGCCCCTCCGGTAGCTCCACCAATTCAAACGTGTCATTCTCCTCGATGCTCTTCAGCTCACTCTCCATGGCCTTCTTCCACTCCTCAGCATCACTACTCTCCAAAGCCTCCTTGAGAGTTTCTGGTTCTCCCGGCATCTCCACCGGAGAGAAGAACGCGAAGGCACACTCCTCGTAGTCACTCTCCTCGTCGTCTCCGACCATCATTGCCGCTCCGGCCAGGGCTGTCTTGCCTTGCTTTCCAAGTGCATCATAGGTCAGCCTATTAGGGGGTTGAACTCTCCTCTTCCCCCTTCCTTCCTCCTCAGCTGCAGGGACTTGAAGGCCTTGGCGTTGCTGCGGTGTGGCTCGAATCCGTGGAGCACTCGTGGTACGGGAAGGGAGTGACGGTGCACGCTCGCTCACTTGCTGCACCTCCTCCTCTTCTTCCTCTGAATCATTGGCCTCCTCTCCCCTATTCACAAGGGAGGATTGCCTTGTGGTTGTGCTGCCGCTGCTCAGCTCCAAAGGCAGCTCCACATGCTCCAAACCGGAACTCTTCACCTCCCCAAACCGCACGCCTATCTTCGCCTCATTCTCCGCCTTCCAATCCTTGTACATGAAGTTCTCCATGAACTTGCAGTCCCTGCTCACCAAAAACTTCTTGGTGAATGGGTCCCAAAGAAGCCATCCCTTGCTGTTTTGAGCCATGCCCAAGTGCACGGCCCACACCGCCTTGGCACCAAGCTTGTTGTGCCGAAGATGCTTAGGCACGAGCGCCATGCACATGCACCCAAACACCCGAAGCATATCCACCTTTGGCTTCCTTCCTAGCCACTCCGCATAGGGCACCCATTTGTCTGCTCCCACATGAGTCAAGGCTCTGTTCTTGGCCACACACGCACTCCGCACCGCATCAGGCCAGAAATAGTCGGGTAGCCCGGCTTCAATGAGCAACCCACGTGCCGCCTCCGTGATTGTGCGGTTCGCTCGCTCGGCGATGCCGTTCATTGCAGGGGAGTATGGCATGGTGAGGGAGTGCCGAATACCATTCTTCTTCAGCCACAACCCAAACTCCTTGCTCAGGAACTCTCCCCCTCGATTGGTGCGGATTGACTTGACTAGACGGTCTTGTTGCCGCTCCACCATCGGGAACCAATCCGCCTTCAACGTTTCAGCCACGTCGCTCTTCCTGGCCAGCACGTACACCCAAGTCATATGGGTGTAGACGTCCACAATAGTGAGGAAGTACTCAGCTCCAGCAGCTCCAAGCTTCAGGGGGCCCACCACATCCATCACCACCTCATCAAGTGGTGCCTTAGCCGTTGCCTCCGAACTAGAGAATGGGAAACGGGTGAACTTGGCTTGCATGCACGTCAGGCAGCCAAGTACCTCATCGGGCTCCCCTTTCACACGTATGCCAGCAACCATCTCATTCTTCACTAGCTGCTAAAAGATGGGCAGGGCCACATGCCCCTTGCGCCGATGCAAGGTGAGCCAATCACACTCCCCCGTAGCCGAAGTTGGATTGGAGAATGCCGCGCTCGCAATAGTGCCCCACATACTCTCTCCGTAGTCCTCCTCCGCTGCTGCCTCGGGGTTCTCCTCACCCTTTTTCTGCTCCTTGGCTGCTGCACCACTCTCCTTAGGTTCACTGAACTTGCTGGTCCCTCCAAGTTTGCTCTTCTTGAGCTCATTCTCCTTAGCGCGACCGTTCGCGCCATCGTCGCTACCGACCGCTCCATCCTTGGTGCTGATGCTTGCTGCCACTTGCCTCTCCTTAGGCATAGGGACCACTGGGATCTGCCACATCTCGTTGTAGACATCCTTGTCCTCATGAAGGTCCCAGAGAATTCGATCGCCAAGCCTTGCGGTGTAGGTCTTGGCTCCCTTCGAGTTCGTGTCCATGCCGGCCTTTGCCAACCGCCGCACGGAAATCAGGTTTGCAGCAAGGCTGGGCACCCAAAGCACGTTCTTGAGGCCCACCATCTTCCCATCAGCACCCTTGAACATGGCCTTCCCCATGCCTTTCACCTCAGCTCGCTGCCCCAAAGCCGATGTGACATGCTTCACCGGTGACGGCTCGAGTTCGGTGAGCAAGTCCGGGCGAGGTGTCATGCTATAGGTAGCGCCACTATCAAACACCCAGTAGTCAAGGGGGTGTAGGGTCACCTTCCCCACAGCTGCTGGCTCCTCAAAGCCTTCATCCTTCTCTGGACCAGCCGGTGCTTGCATCGACACGAAGTAGAATAGACCCGGGTATCGATCGTCGCTCGGGTCCTTGTCGTTGTCTCCGCTCTTCATGTTTGCAGCTCCGCCATCGCGACCGCCACGGCCTCCACGGCCTCGTCCTCTCCCTCCTCCTGCTCCTCTACCCTCTTGGCCTTGAGCAGGGGTCCAACCATCAGGGATTTTGTAGCAGTCGCGCCACATGTGTCCGCTCTTGTGGCAATAGTGACACTCGCCGTCGAATCGGCCGCGACCGCGTCCGTAGCTCTTGTCGTCGCTGCCGTAACCGCCACTCCCGCGGCCTCCGCCGAAGTTGCTGCCACCAAACCTTCCTCCCCCTCGTCCTCTGCCTCTTCCTTGACCATATCCACGGCCGATGCTCGCTGCCCCAGCGCCATCCGCACTCGCTAACTCACGGCGGCGGAAATCCTCTTGAAGGATAGCCCGCTTCAAGTCTTCGAGCGAGAGGCGGGGCAAGTCGCAATTCAGGTTGATGATGAGCGAGGACCATGATTCGGGGAGTAGGGCCAGCAACTTGGTCTTCTTTTGGAGCTCACTATATTTGAAATCCGCTCCCTCAAGCCGCGTCAACAAGTCGAAGAATTTCTGCACCCTTCTTCAACCGCTTCATCCTCTTCAATTCGTAACGTCGCCATTTGCCGTTCCAACAACACAGCTACCGCCGCTGTTGCAGGAGCGTGTACACCCTTGAGAGCAGCCCATGCTTTTGGTCCCTTCTCTGGTTCACGCTGGAAAGGCTTGATGTGACGGATTTGGCTGCTCCCCAACGCTTGCCCAAGTAGGAGGTAGCCTTGTGCGCTCTTCCGCACCCACGGGCTCTTCTCCGGGTCGTTCTCGGGACGCTTCTCCGTTCCTTCCATCACCTCCAGCAGGTCATAGTGGTCAAATATGTTCTCCATTCTGAAGGACAACTCAGCAAAGTTGTCACCATTGAACTTGTCAAGGCCAAACACTCTAGGCTCATCCCTAGATGGGCCAACACTTGGTTGCAAGGGCGCCATGGCTGAGTCACGGGGTTGGCCTTGAGCTTAGGCTTCTCCTCTACCACCAGCACCTCTGCCACCCCTTTCCTCATGTCCAGCCATTGTCGAAACTGCTCCAAGGGGCTCTGATACCACTTGTTATAGTCACAGTAGGCTCCAATGTGCCTAAAACGAAAGATAGAGTGCACAGTCGGATTTCGGCACAGCGGCTTCAAACGTTCATATCGTTCTGGTCACAGCTTCAAATGACTTGATTCAACTTGGATCTGCAGCTTTTTATTGTCGCCTACAATAGGCAATTTAGATCGCACGATTTCACCAAGTATTGACGACACAGCGTTGGTTTGAACGAACGGCACTATGGCAGCCACTATAGTCTTAGAACACAAGATAGGAAGAGTTAGGAAGAGTTACGAGTTGGGAATGACTCCCAGCTCCTACAAACCCCAAGAGCCGAGGTACAGTGATGTGGAACAGTGCCACACTGTCCCCAACCACGAAGGGTCTCGAAACTACCCTTCACTAGGGCCTACACCAAGTGAAATGTTACACTACACAAAGTAATGTAACTATCTTCAATATCTTGAGGTGTACCCCTTTGGCGAGCTTCGAAATCACTCGAGGCTTGACACCAAGGCTCGGGCTCTTGATCACAAACTCATCCTTGAGTTCTTGATGGGTCTGCTGCATACACCTGCGACACACCGAACGTTCGACACAGGACAAAATAGAAACCGCGCACGACAAAATAGAAACCGCGCGCGAGACACAAACGACTGCGTAACACGCGTCTAGCGATAACTCGCTATTGACTCAACACACACACTCGACATCCTGACTCAACATTCACACACTATTATAAGCATGAAATATATATTATCGCATGCCCTCATACCATTCCATACACACACACATGCACGCACACAGACAACAAGCCGAGTGCAAACCAAAGGGTTGCACCAACACCATTCTCCTGCTTTCCATCACCCCGCCCCATTCTCCTGCTTTCCATCACCCCGCCCCATTCTCCTGCTTTCCATCACCCCGCCCCGCTCTACTGCTTTCCATCACCCCGCCCCGTTCTCCCGCTTTCCATCAACCCGCCCCATTCTCCCGCTTTCCATCATCCCGCCCCATTCTCCCTCCTCCCATCACCCTGACCCATCCTCCCGCTTTCCATCACCCCGCCCCATTCTCCTGCTTTCCATCACCCCGCCCCATTCTCCCGCATTCCATCACCCCGCCCCGTTCTACTGCTTTCCATCACCCCGCCCCGTTCTCCCGCTTTCCATCAACCCGCCCCATTCTCCCGCTTTCCATCATCCCGCCCCATTCTCCCTCCTCCCATCACCCTGACCCATCCTCCCGCTTTCCATCACCCCGCCCCATTCTCCCGCTTTCCATTACCCCGTCCCATTCTCCCGCTTTCCATCACCCCGCCCCATTCTCCCGCTTTCCATCACCCCGCTTTATTCTCCCTCTTTCCATCACTCCGCCCCATTCTCCCGCTTTCCATCACCCTGCCCCATTCTCCCTCTTTCCATCACCCCGCCCCATTCTCCCGCTTTCCATCACCCCGCCCCATTCTCCCGCTTTCCATCACCCCGCCCCATTCTCCCGCTTCCCATCACCCCGCCCCATTCTCCCGATTTCCATCACCCCGCCCCAATCTCCCACTTTCCATCACCCCGCCCCATTCTCCCGCTTTCCATCACCCCGCCCCATTCTCCTTCTTTCCATCACCCCGCCCCATTCTCCCTCCTTCCATCACCCCGCCCCATTCTCCCGCTTTCCAGCACCCCGCCCCATTCTCCCGCTGTCCATCACCGCGCCCCATTCTCCCGCTTTCCATCATCCCGCCCCATTCTCCCTCCTCCCATCACCCTGACCCATCCTCCCGCTTTCCATCACCCCGCCCCATTCTCCTGCTTTCCATCACCCCGCCCCATTCTCCCGCATTCCATCACCCCGCCCCGTTCTACTGCTTTCCATCACCCCGCCCCGTTCTCCCGCTTTCCATCAACCCGCCCCATTCTCCCGCTTTCCATCATCCCGCCCCATTCTCCCTCCTCCCATCACCCTGACCCATCCTCCCGCTTTCCATCACCCCGCCCCATTCTCCCGCTTTCCATTACCCCGTCCCATTCTCCCGCTTTCCATCACCCCGCCCCATTCTCCCGCTTTCCATCACCCCGCTTTATTCTCCCTCTTTCCATCACTCCGCCCCATTCTCCCGCTTTCCATCACCCTGCCCCATTCTCCCTCTTTCCATCACCGCGCCCCATTCTCCCGCTTTCCATCACCCCGCCCCATTCTCCCGCTTTCCATCACCCCGCCCCATTCTCCCGCTTCCCATCACCCCGCCCCATTCTCCCGATTTCCATCACCCCGCCCCAATCTCCCACTTTCCATCACCCCGCCCCATTCTCCCGCTTTCCATCACCCCGCCCCATTCTCCTTCTTTCCATCACCCCGCCCCATTCTCCCTCCTTCCATCACCCCGCCCCATTCTCCCGCTTTCCAGCACCCCGCCCCATTCTCCCGCTGTCCATCACCGCGCCCCATTCTCCCGCTTTCCATCACCCCGCCCCATTCTCCCGCTTTCCATCACCCCGCCCCATTCTCCCGCTTTCCATCACCCCGCCCCATTCTCCCGCTTTCCATCACCCCGCCCCATTCTCACGCTTTCCATCACCCCGCCTGATTCTCCCGCTTTCCATCACCCTGCCCCATTCTCCCGCTTTCCATCACCCCGCTCCATTCTCCCGCTTTCCATCACCCCGCCCTATTCTCACGCTTTCCATCACCTCACCCCATTCTTCCGCTTTCCATCAGCCCGCCCCATTCTCCCTCTTTCCATCACCCCGCCCCATTCTCCCGCTTTCCATCACCACGCCCCATTCTCCCGCTTTCCATCACCCGGCCCCATTCTCCCACTTTCCATCACCCCGCCCCATTCTCCCACTTCCCATCACCCCGCCCCATTCTCCCACTTCCCATCACCCCACCCCATTCTCACGCTTTCCATCACCCCGCCCCATTCTCCCGCTTTCCATCACCCCGCCCCATTCTCTCGCTTTCCATCACCCAGTCCCATTCTCCCTCCTTCCATCACCCTGCCCCATTCTCCCTCTTTCCATCACCCCGCCCCATTCTCCCGCTTTCCATCACCCCGTCCCATTCTCCCTCTTTTCATCACCCCGCCCCATTCTCCCGCTTTCCATCATCCCGCCCCACTCTCCCTCTTTCCATCACCCCGCCCCATTCTCCCACTTTCCATCACCCCGCCCCATTCTCCCTCTTTCCATCATCCCGCCCCATTCTCCCGCTTTCCATCACTCCGCCCCATTCTCCCTCTTTCCATCACCCCGCCCCATTCTCCCGCTTTCCATCACCCCGCCTAATTCTCCCCCTTTCCATCACCCCACCCCATTCCCCCTCTTTCCATCACCCTGCCACATTTTCCCTCTTTCCATCACCCCGCCCCACTCTCCCTCTTTCCATCACCCCGCCCCATTCTCCCGCTTTCCATCACCCCGCCCCAATCTCCCACTTTCCATCACCCCGCCCCATTCTCCCGCTTTCCATCATCCCAACCCATTCTCCTTCTTTCCATCACCCCGCCCCATTCTTCCTCTTTCCATCACCCCGCCCCATTCCCCCTCTTTCCATCACCCCGACCCATTCTCCCTGGTTCCATCACCCCGCCCCGTTCTCCTGCTTTCCATCACCCCGCCCCATTCTCCCGCTTTCCATCACCCCGCCCAATTCTCCCGCTTTCCATCACCCCGCCCAATTCTCCCACTTTCCATCACCCCGCTCCGTTCTCCCGCTTTCCATCACCCCGCTCCATTCTCCCTCTTTCCATCACCCCTCCCCATTCTCCCGCTTTCCATCACCCCGCTCCGTTCTCCCGCTTTCCATCACCCCGCTCCATTCTCCCTCTTTCCATCACCCTGCCCCATTCTCCCACTTTCGATCACCCCGCCCCATTCTTCCTCTTTCCATCACCCCGCCCCATTCTCCCTCTTTCCATCACCCCGCCCCATTCTCCAACTTTCCATCACCCCGCCCCATTCTCCCGCTTTCCATCACCCCGCCCTATTCTCCCTCTTTCCATCATCCCCCCCATTTCTCCCTCTATCCATAACCCAGTCCCATTCTCCCGCATTCCATCACCCTGCCCTATTCTGCCGCTTTCCATCACCCCCCCCCAATTCTCCCTTTTTCCATCACCCCGCCCCATTCTTCCGCTTTTCATCACCCCGCCCCATTCTCCCGCTTTTCATCACCCCGCCCCATTCTCCCGCTTTCCATCACCCCAACCCATTCTCCGGCTTTCCATCACCCCGCCTAATTCTCCCCCTTTCCATCACCCCGCCCCATTCTCCCTCTTTCCATCACCCCGCCCCATTCTCTAGCTTTCTATCACCCCGCCCCATTCTCCATCTTTTCATCACCCTGCCCCATTCTCCCTCTTTCCATCACCCTGCCCCATTCTTCCTCTTTCTATCACCCCGCCCCATTCTCCCTCTTTCCATCACCCCGCCCCATTCTCCCGCTTTCCATCACCCCACCCCATTCTCCCGCTTTCCATCACCCCGCCCCATTCTCCCTCTTTCCATCACTCCACCCCATTCTCCCTCTTTCCATCACTCCACCCCATTCTCCCTCTTTCCATCACTTCACCCCATTCTCCCTCTTTCCATCACCCCGCCCCGTTCTCCCTCTTTCCATCACCCCGCCCCATTCTCCCTCTTTCCATCACCCCGCCCAGTTCTCCCTCTTTCCATCACCCAGTCCCATTCTCCGGCATTCCATCACCCCGCCCCATTCTCCTGCTTTCCATCACCCCGTCCCATTCTCCCTCTTTCCATCACCCCACCCCTATCTCCCGCTTTCCATCTCCCCGCCCCATTCTCCCTCTTTCCATCACCCCGCCCCATTCTCCCTCTTTCCATCACTCAGTCCCATTCTCCCGCATTCCATCACCCTGCCCCATTCTCCCACTTTCCATCACCCTGCCCCATTTTGCCGCTTTCCATCATCCCGCCCCATTCTCCCTCTTTCCATCACCCCGCCCCATTCTCCCTCTTTCCATCACCCCGCCCCATTCTCCCGCTTTCCATCACCCCGCCCCATTCTCCCGCTTTCCATCACCCCGCCCCATTCTCTAGCTTTCTATCACCCCGCCCCATTCTCCCGCTTTCCATGACCCCAACCCATTCTCCCGCTTTCCATCACACCGACCCATTCTCCCTCTTTCCATCACCCCGCCCCATTCTCCATCTTTTCATCACCTCGCCCCATTCTCCCGCTTTCCATCACCCCGTCCCATTCTCCCTCTTTCAATCACCCTGCCCCATTCTCCCTCTTTCCATCACCCCGCCCCATTCTTCCTCTTTCCATCACCCCGCCCCATTCTCCCTCTTTCCATGACCCCGCCCCTTTCTCCCCCTTTCCATCACCCCGACCCATTCTCCCTCTTTCCATCACCCCGCCCCATTCTCTAGCTTTCTATCACCCCGCCCCATTCTCCATCTTTTCATCACCTCGCCCCATTCTCCCACTTTCCATCACCCCGTCCCATTCTCCCTCTTTCAATCACCCTGCCCCATTCTCCCTCTTTCCATCACCCCGCCCCATTCTTCCTCTTTCCATCACCCCGCCCCATTCTTCCTCTTTCCATCACCCCGCCCCATTCTCCCTCTTTCCATCACCCCGCCCCATTCTTCTTCTTTCCATCACCCCGCCCCATTCTCCCGCTTTCCATCACCCCGCCCCATTCTCCCGCTTTCCATCACCCCGCCCCATTCTTCCTCTTTCCATCACCCCGCCCCATTCTTCCTCTTTTCATCACCTTGCCCCATTCTCCCTCTTTCCATCACCCCACCGAATTCTCCCTCTTTCCATCACCCAGTCCCATTCTCCCGCATTCCATCACCCTGCCCCATTCTCCCGCTTTCCATCACCCCGTCCCATTCTCCCTCTTTCCATCACCCCACCCCATTCTCCCGCTTTCCATCTCCTCGCCCCATTCTCCCTCTTTGCATCACCCCGCCCCATTCTCCCTCTTTCCATCACCCCACCCCATTCTCCCGCTTTCCATCTCCCCGCCCCATTCTCCCTCTTTCCATCACCCCGCCCCGTTCTCCCGCTTTCCATCACCCCACCCCATTCTCCCTCTTTCCATCACCCCGCCCCATTCTTCCTCTTTCCATCACCCCGCCCCATTCTCCCTCTTTCCATCACCCCACCGAATTCTCCCTCTTTCCATCACCCAGTCCTATTCTCCCGCATTCCATCACCCCGTCCCATTCTCCCTCTTTCCATCACCCCACCCCATTCTCCCGCTTTCCATCTCCCCGCCCCATTCTCCCTCTTTCCATCACCCCGCCCCATTCTCCCTCTTTCCATCACCCAGTCCCATTCTCCCACTTTCCATCACCCCGCCCCGTTCTCCCGCTTTCCATCACCCCGCCCCATTCTCCCTCTTTCCATCACCCCACCCCATTCTCCCTCTTTCCATCACCCCTCCCAGTTCTCCCTCTTTCCATCACCCCGCCCCATTCTCCCGCTTTCCATCACCCCGCCCCATTCTTCCTCTTTCCATCACCCTGCCCCATTCTCCCGCTGTCCATCACCCCAGCCCCATTCTCCCTCTTTCCATCACCCCGCCCCATTCTCCCGCTTTCCATGACTTCGCCCCATTCTCCCGCTTTCCATCGCCCCGCCCCATTCTCCCTCTTTCCATCACCCCACCCCATTCTCCCGCTTTCCATCTCCCCGCCCCATTCTCCCTCTTTCCATCACCCCGCCCCATTCTCCCTCTTTCCATCACCCAGTCCCATTCTCCCACTTTCCATCACCCCGCCCCGTTCTCCCGCTTTCCATCACCCCGCCCCATTCTCCCTCTTTCCATCACCCCACCCCATTCTCCCTCTTTCCATCACCCCGCCCAGTTCTCCCTCTTTCCATCACCCCGCCCCATTCTCCCGCTTTCCATCACCCCGCCCCATTCTTCCTCTTTCCATCACCCTGCCCCATTCTCCCGCTGTCCATCACCCCAGCCCCATTCTCCCTCTTTCCATCACCCCGCCCCATTCTCCCGCTTTCCATGACTTCGCCCCATTCTCCTGCTTTCCATCGCCCCGCCCCATTCTCCCTCTTTCCATCACCCCACCCCATTCTCCCGCTTTCCATCTCCCCGCCCTATTCTCCCTCTTTCCATCACCCCGCCCCATTCTCCCTCTTTCCATCACCCAGTCCCATTCTCCCACTTTCCATCACCCCGCCCCGTTCTCCCGCTTTCCATCACCCCGCCCCATTCTCCCTCTTTCCATCACCCCACCCCATTCTCCCTCTTTCCATCACCCCGCCCAATTCTCCCTCTTTCCATCACCCCGCCCCATTCTCCCTCTTTCCATCACCCCTCCCCATTCTCCTGCTTTCCATCACCCTGCCCCATTCTCCCGCTGTCCATCACCCCAGCCCCATTCTCCCTCTTTCCATCACCCCGCCCCATTCTCCCGCTTTCCATGACTTCGCCCCATTCTCCCGCTTTCCATCGCCCCGCCCCATTCTCCCCCTTTCAATCACCCTGCCCCATTCTCCCTCTTTCCATCACCCCGCCCCATTCTCCCGCTTTCCATCATCCCGCCCCATTCTCCCACTTTCCATCACCCCACCCCGTTCTCCCACTTTCCATCACCCCGCCCCATTCTCCCTCTTTCCATCACCCCGCCCCATTCTCCCTCTTTCCATCACACCACACGCATACATGATACGTCATTTTTTCAGAAACGCCGTATATGAGTGAGGAGGTGAGTGGAACGGGGCACGTAAGCACCAGTATCCAGCAATGAGCAAGATAGCCAGCAATCTGCCTCGTCTGATGCACTGCAAGCAAGAGCACGGCCAGCGATCCCCTTATCAACCCCAAACACAGCGTCACAAGCAGCCCCACTCACACAAACATCAATGATCATGCAACGGCACTGTATCCCACCACGCACCCACACCCGTAACCCAGAACCACCCACCAGCCCAACCCATCACATGCACACACGAGCCATCCCACTAACCCATCCACCCCCTCCACCCCACCTTCTCCCCCTTGCCCCCTCTTCCCACCCCTTCACAAATTCTCCCAGCCTGCAAGTCCCAAGCCACGCCACCAGTGCAGCACACACAACACAACGGAAAGGAGAACCCACGAGGACGAGGCCAATGATGAAGCTGACGACGGAGACGGCCGCCAGCAGGTCGGCGGTCTTGTGTAGCGCGCACAAAGCAACGGGAAGGAGAACCTACCAGGACGAGGCTGATGATGAAGCTGACGATCGACATGGCTGCGAGCAGCTCCACAGCCTTGTTGAGAGACAGCAGCCCGCCCACGAGCGCCGCCACCACGCCCCCAATGAACATGCCCAGCCCCAGCACGCCCCCGACAGATCGTCGTTGATCAGCACGTCCACCCCGCGCGCCTTGAACAACTCCCATGTGTCCTTGGCCACCCGGATGAACGTCTATCCGTACATTGCGAACTGCATGGGGGGGAGGGGGAGGTTGGGAGGGCAGAGAGGGAGGAGATGGAGAATGGTGAGGCTTGTAGAAGAGAGTACAGGAAGCGGGCAAAGTTGTGCGAGAGAGGAGTGGTGGGAAAGAGAAGGATGGAAGGGGAAGTAAGGGAGGGGAAAAAGCACACATCAGTGATTCAGCAACCATGGGGAAGAGGTAAGTATTGTGTTTGCCTCATGCATGTGCACGCACCTGGATGTAGGCGTATTCATGCCCACTTGGATGTAGGGGTACTCATGCCCACCTGGATGTAGGCGTACTTGTTGAAGAACTCGACGATGGCCTAAATGCACGCTAGGAAGCACTGCGCACAGCACGTTATGAAGTTGCCCCCGTCGTCGTTGTTCGCTAGCGCAGCCACCTGGGAAGGCAAGCATGGGAGAGGGAAAGGTGGAAGCAAAAGGCACAGTGAGTATGCGGAAAGACTTGGATCTGGAAGATCATATCTCTAAGAATATATTCGGCTGCTGCCAAAGCCTTCCTCATCCTGCCTTCTAGACATCTCTCGCCCTATATCCCTTTCGCCCCCACCCTCAACCCCGTTTCAGCCAGCCACAGACACAAAATGACCTCGGACCCCCTTCATCCTCTTCTTCCCACACCCAAGAAAACACGCTCTCCATCCTCTGTCCCCCCACTCCCCCCAGCACGGACAATGAAGCGGAGGGTTTGGATGAGCGCAACGAGCAGCGAGCCGAAGCAGACGGAGCCAAAGCTTTTGGTGGCGGCGCGGTGCAGCGCGAGGGTGGTGGGTTTAGGCGGCATGTTGTGGCGCAGAAAGTAGAAGGTGGTCGTGGTGCCCGCCACTGCCGTGTGCACCATGTTGCGCACCACCTGCGAGGCCCAGACAGGGGGGGAAGAGGGGGCGGGAGTGTGGGAGAGAGTGCACCACGTTGCGGAATACCTGCGAAGCCCCCGAGGGGAGGGGATATGTGGGAGAGGAAGGGAGGGGGGGTCCGGGGAGAGGGAGGAGGGGAAGGAGGTGGGGAAGGGTGGTGAGTGTCGCGAGAAGGGGAAGAGAGGGGAGGGTGGTCGGAGGGGTGAAGGGGTGAGAGGGGTGGGAATGTGGGGAAGGGGTGGGGTGGGTGGAGTGGAAGAAGGGTTGCAATGGGTGAGGGGTTGAGGTTAGTGAGGTGGTGGAGAATGGGGAGAGTGGTGAGGGACAGAGAGGAGAGAAGAAAGACGAAATGGTGGGTTCATAAGGTAATCAGAAAGAGAATAGGCAGGTTGCAGCAGATGTGAAAATCAAGGTCCCTGGTTTCAGCATGCATGCCAGGTGGCGGTGGCAGGGTCCAGAGTGAAGAGGGCAGTTCATTGCATGGCAAGGAGGAGAGGGGTGGCATAAGTAAATACCTCCATGGTCCAGTAGTTGCTGAGCATGAGGATGATGAGCACCACAAATGCGTTCGTCTGCCGCCCACACACACACACACCACAGCACAGCACATGGTGTGGGGGAAGGGAAGGGAGAGCACACACACACCACAGTGCACGGGGTGGGAGAGAGGATGGGAGAGTAGCGGGAAGGTCAGTAGATGCAACATGGTGCGACGGTGACATGATGTGGAGCGGAAGATGACAGGATGGGGGCATATAGAGAGGCATGGCTCTCACCAGCGCCATGGCGCCTGAGACGCCGACGACCCAGATGACGGTCCAGATGAGGCTGAGGAGGAGGAAGAGGTACGCCACCCAGATGACCGACGGGAACGTATTCACCACGTGCACCGCGTGCTTCAGAATCGTGGCCGAGAACGGGATCCTGTGCGCAGCAAGGGGAGGAGGGAGGCACCACGGCGGTCACTTAGGTGGGTTAAGTGGAGATGCTGCGGACGAGTGTCGGTGAGTGTGCACAGGTGCATGCATGTGAGGGAGCGCGGGAGGGAGTGGGAGAGCGGAGGCAAAAGTGTAGGTTGTATGCCTACGAGAGCAACGCAATGCGAGCGATGCATGCAGCCATGTGTGCATGGGTGTGTGAGTGCATGGGTATGCGTGGGTGTGTGAATGTGTGGGTGCGCACGCATGCACACCTGTGTCGCACGAGCCAGATGTAAAGCAGCTGCAGCAGCGAGGAGCGGAGGAGCACGACGCCCACGCCCTCAAACACGGGTGCTGTGCCGCACAAATACCGCGATTGCCACCGCCACCGGCGCCACAAACCCAAACCACCCGGGGGGAGGAGAAGATTTGCACCATGTTTCAGACTGCTGGTTGTTTGCGTGTATGCCCAGGGCTGAGAGTAGGAACACGGGGTCTGGAGGGAGGAGATGGGAGAGCGGAAAGAGGGGGAAGCGGGGAAGGGGGTGGTGGCAGCGAACATGGGGTCTGACGGTGCCCGGGAAAGGCGGAGGGGGAAGAAGGGTTGGGTGGTTTGTGTGCAGGGTTGGAAGGAACGCATACAGGGTGGGCGGCAAGGAAGTTAAGGGAGCCAAGATTGAAGGAGAGGAGAGGCGGCACCGCGGCTGGGCACTTCAATATATTCGCTCGTGAAACACGCCTACCCCAGACTTTGAAGGGCGCACTGCTTGGCACTCGTGCTGTTGCGCTGCACCGCACCTACACACCACGCCACTCGCATCCGGCCAGCGCAACCGCGAGGCTTGTTGACGTGACCGCACTGCTGCCACATAACCGCCTAGCATCAAAACCCTGACACAACTCTACGCCCAATTCTGCAAGTCCTCGCAATTCACGCCGTTGCGCCGCACCATGCCTCGGGCGCACGTGCTCTCAGACATCCACCAGCGCGTCATCGTCGTAGTTCCATCAGCCTCCGTCGCTCGTCGACCATCAACGCGCGCCCATGCTTAGAGTGGTCAGCGCCCTACCGCCCTCTGCCTCCCCCCTCCCCCTCCCGTAACTCTCTATCGACATCTCTCTCTTCTTGTCGTTCCTCCTCTTTCGTCTCCCTCCATTGCACCCTCGATGGGCCTTACCGTTTTCTCGTACATTCATCCATCCCCACCCCCCATTTTCTCCACCTCCCTGAATCGTGTTGCATTCTTGACTAAGCAGATCTCCATCTGACATGCCATCACCCCAGAAACTTTCAGAGGGTATTCGAACTCGCAATGATAGATAGGGGTGCTATACAATCACCCTAGTGGAGAATAAACGAAACTGACTAATCTAATGGTGAAAAAAAATGTATCCAGTACATATCTACTTACCAAATTATGCAGTGGTCATTATAAAGGCACATTTATTTGCATAAATAGTTCCAATAGTTAACTGAAATTTGTTTCCTACATTTTTTATTGAGCCAGAGAACATGTATTTCAGTTTTATTACTATGGTATAAAGTTGGTACTAATACCTATTTAGGATTAGGTGATCACTAGTTCCATAACCTAGTCGTGTTACATGCTTATGTGTGCCGTTAGCGAGGAGGGCGTCTGTACTGTTCAAAAAATTCCCCGCGATGTCAAGAGTCGATGTCATTTCGCGCCACTCGGTGCGGCACCAGCACCACAGCCGAGGCGCCTTTCGCTGCGTGGTGTGGTGTGGCATGGTGGTGGTGTGCCGTACTTGCTGTTCTATTCTGGGATGGATGTGATGTGAGTGCGCGGCAGTGATGCCCACTTCCTGGCATTGCGCTGCACTCCTCACCTCACACTTGCATCACCACCAGGCCCTACTCTGATGCCTCAGCCTCAAACAACTCTTTCCCTATCTGCTGATATCCTTTCCACACCACAGCAACAGCAAGCTTTTCTCTGCCTCTTGGTTGCGCCATATATTCCTGGACCTTCGTACTTTTGCGCAGGGTATTCTAGCAGTGACGAATAGAGCGTGAATCCGTGCTTGCGACGAAGTCTAGATAGCATACCACGTAGCGCAGATACCTTATATCCGACGATGAGCAGCTTTGCAACGACCAGTTCGCAGCCCAACCCTGCCTAAAGTTGCAGCTTTAGGTAATTGTCGGGAGACGGTCGTTCTGTCTAGAGCCTTCTGTAACTTTTACATGACTGGTTTCGCGCATCGTACGCCATGGTGTTTCACCCTTGTAACTCTCAAAAAGGCCCTTTAGTGCTGGTCGCTGTGCGCATCAGATTCGCGCCGACCTTTGGCGGATTCGTCTTCTTCGCGATCCCCATTCGCGCCCTTCACGATTCCCGTATCTCAATCGTTTTGTTCCGTCCCTCCCCCGGCCGTGACCTTCCCTCCTCGCGCGTGGCAGCACGGAGATGGTGGATCGCTCCGCACACGGCCACGGCAGCAGCCCTCACGTCGCCACGCCATCACCCAACCCCCCCACTCCAGTCAGTCACTCCACCATACAGCCTCTCCCCCTTCCTCCATCCTTGTCTGATTCATCCTCGGAATTAATCCCCCTACATGCTTCTGCCGTTACCGCGGCCCGCGGGGCGGAGAGAGGGGGGGAAGGTTGGAGGTTGCGCGAGAGCGACGCGAACGTGGCGACGGGGTGTGAAGGGGGAGGGAAATATGATGGGGAGGAAAAATCTGGTGGAAGCGACGGGAAGTTGCCTGGCGGGACGGGCAAAGGGGAGGGCGAGGCGGGCGCGAACGCGTCACAGGCGGCAGACCAAGTGCGCGCGTACAGGCGACACCTGGAGCAAATGCAGGAGAACGAGAAGCTGCTCTACGCCGAGGTAACGCGCTCATCTCCGCGCCCGCTCTCCTCGGCCCTGCGCGCTCCAGCTCCCACGTGCCCTTTAGCCTGCCTTACCCCTCTCTCTCCCCGTCTCAGTATCCTCCCACGTGCCATTCCCTGCTTCCAACTCTCTTTCCCCGCAGATTGACGAGTTGCGCGCGGCTCTTAGCGCGGAAAGGGAGGTGGCGCGCGCGACGGAGAGAGTGGCGGAGGCGGAATGCTGGCGGAGGTTGGAAGTGGAGCGGGGGCGCGCTTCTTTGGCGCGGGAGGTAGAGCGGCTGCAGGAAGAGCTAGCGGATGCGCTTGAACAGGCGGAACGCGCGGGGGAAGAGGACGGCGACGCGCGCGAAGGCGGGCGGGCGGAGCGGGTGAGCGAGGCGGAGCGGCAGGCGCGGGAGGAGGTAGCGGAGTTGGAGGAGCAGATCGAGCAGGTGTGCGAGTCGGCGGCGCAGCGCGAGCAGCAGTTCCGCGGGCTGCTGAGCGACATGGAGGAGGAGCTGAGTGCGGCGCAGGCCATGGCGATGGTCGCCATGGAGCGCGAGGAGCGCGCGAACGAGGCGCTGCGGACGCTGCGGCAGGTGAACGACCAGCTCATGCAGCGCCTGCTGCAGCAGGGCAAGGTGCTCCGCGCCGCCCGGGGGCCCGCGGAGCACGCCCAGCGGAACAGTGATGGGGAGGGGGGGAATGAGGGGGACGGCGGTGGCGGGGTGACGCGGGGCGAGCACGAGCGGGGCAAGGACGATGGGGCGGCAAGTGCGGAGGGAGGTGGCGAGAAGGGGTCCGGTACAGAGGGCTGCGGGGAGGGTGAGGCGGAAGCGACGTTGGACGGACGGGATGAGAAGAGTGAGGACAGCGCGGTAAGAGAAGTCGAGCCGGAGGTCGATGCCGGCCCGACGCCGTGCGCGGAGGGGCTTGTGGACACGCCGCCGCTGCACTTGTGCGCCTCCCCGCCGATGCTGCGCGGCAAGGAAGCGGCGGAGGGCCAGGGGAAGTCTCGCGCGAGCAGCTGCGAGACGAGCAGCGCGGGCAGCAGCCGCAGCGGGGGCAGCATGACGGGGCTGTGCAGCGGATGCCGCCAGAAGATGATCCGCGCGCGAGTGGGCGCGGCGGGGAGAAGCAGCACGCCCAGCAGCACGAGCAGCGGCAGCCGCGCGTCTACTGGCGAAAGCAGCCCCAGCCGGCGACAGGCGGAGCAAGGCGGACAGGCAAGCGCGCAGTGGCGCGAGCGGGACAGCGACGCGCAACCGCGGCATCGGGGGGTGGCGGGCGGAGAGCGCGAGGCGGGGTCGGACGACGAGACGGCGTCGGAGTTCTCGTTCCACTTCCGCGGCGCGCTCTCCGACTCGGGCGAGCTCGCGGGGCTGTACGGTCCCGCCGTGGTGGGGTGCCGCCCGCGCGCGCGCGCGTGGGGCAGCGGGGACAGGTTGCGGGGCGGGGCCGGGGGATCGAGGGCGGGCGCAAGGGACAGGCGGAAAAGGCATGTCATCCGTGAGGGGGAGGGGGAGGGAGAGGAGAGCCTGAGCTCTGTGAGCGGGGGAGGCGACGATGCGTGCACGCGGGAGACATGGCGGGGGCTGCTGGGCTGCGCGGGAAGGCAGGCGGAGGAAGAGCGGGGCGAGGGTGGCATGCGCGCGCGTGGGAGGGGGGAGCGGGGCCCGGCGTGGATAGCTGCGGAGCTGGGGAATCTGGTAGGGGAGGCGGAGCGGGTGTGGGAGTGGGCGGAGGAGAAGGAGTGCGTGGAGCAGGGCATTGTGCAGCTGTGCGCGGGGCTGAAGCTGCTGCTGCTCAAACTGCTCCACGGCGCGCATGCGCGCGCGCTCCCGCGCACCAGCAAGCGGAAGCGGAGCGGCGACGCGGAGGGGCAGGGCGGGGGGGAGACGAGCGACGAGGACGAGGAGCTGCTGGCGCTGCTGGGCGCGGGGGATGCGGTCGAGGAGGACGAGCAGGGGGAGGGGGAGGGGGAGGCGGAGGGGGAAGGGGAGGGGGAGGATGACGAGGGAGAGGAGGGCGAGAGGGTAGAGTATGAACGCGGTGGGGAGGGCGGTGGGCGGAGAGGGCAGTGGTTGTGCTTGGGGGAGAGGGGCGCAGACAGCAGGTGGGTGCGGGTGAGCAGGGGCGAGGGGGGGCACGCTGGAGGGCACGTTGAGGGCAGGGGCGGAGGCAAGGACGACGCGCGTGGCGGGCAGCATGGGGGCTTGCTGGAGGGGTGCTGCGGCAGTGCAGGCGAGGACGCTTGGCAGGGAGACGAGGGGCGTGAGGGGTACGAGGGGTACGAGAGGTATGAGACGAGAATGGGCGGAGGCAGCGAGGGTGGGGAGCATGGCGTGCAGCAAGGAGGCAGTATCGCAGCACAGAGCGGCGGCAGCAGCGGTAGTGGGGAGCACGAGAAGGAGGGAGAGAGGCGCAGTGAGGATTGGGGGGAGAGCATGGATAGTGACATGGACGGGGAGAGGGGGTCGTGGTGCAGCAGGCAGGGGGAGAGCCTGGATGGCATGATCGCCACGGATTCACGCGACAGGGATGATGATGATGACGTCACTTCCACGGGCGATTCGGGCGGGCACGGGGGGAAGGAGGGCGAGGCCAGTGGTGGGCGGGTGGAGGGATCCGAGATGGATGGTGAGGGGGCGGAGAGGTCCCAGGCGGTAGAGCAGACGGGGGGAGGGACGAGGCTTATCCCCACAGGCGGGTCTCACAGTGACGGCACAGCTGCTGATGCAGCCTTGCATGCACCTCCGGTCAGTGGCACGAGCAGGAACGGCAGCAGGAGCGAGAGTGGGCGGGACAGTGCTGCACTTGAGGAGGGAGACGATGAGGGTGGGGCATGCGAGCTGAGCGAGCATGCGCAGGACGGCACTGGCGCCGAGGCGGGGGGCAGCAGGCGCAAGCAGCTGAGCGTGCTGCTGCCCCTCCCTCGCCCCGCGCTGCACCCCCTGTGTGTGTCCCCTGTGGGCGTGTCCAGAAGCCCGTCCAAGCTCGGCAAGTGGGTCGTGGGCGGCGTGTGGAAGGGCGTTGCTGCTGCTGGAGCAGCAGCAGGTGGGGCAGGAGCAGGGGAAGGGCAGTGCGTTGCGGCGGGCGAGGACGTGGAGAAGGAACTGGAGTGGTGCCGGGCGTCCCTGCAGGCGGTGACTGAAGCCGTGTACGTGCACATGGCCGCCGTGCTGGAGCACAGCACACGCCCCACACTCAGCGACGGGTGTAAAGAGAACAGGGGCGGCATGGAGGGGGGCATGGATGCGGAGATGGTGGAGGGGGTGGTGGAGCGGTCGCACGGGCAGGTCAGGGAGGCGGAGGTGCTGCTGGGGAAGGCGCAGCGCACGCTGCAGCGACTCGCTGCGGTGCAGGGCAAGGGCCGGGCGCTGTGCCGGCGCATGAGCAGCAAGCAGCGCGTGCTGCTGGAGCTGCAGCGCTGCCTCGTGCAGGCGCAGGGCGGGCAGGCGGAGCAGCAAGTGGGGGGAGTGATGGTGGTGGGCGAGAAGCAGGAGCCCCACGTGCGCTGCAACTTGTTCTGGCGCCGCTGATGTGATGGCGCTCATGTGCACTGCACTGGAACCCAACAGTGCGCTGCCATATGCTCAGTTACCTCAGTGACTGGCGGACTCGCTCCCTGCTAACCACTTACCTACTAATCATGCCATATGTACCTACTCCAGTTGCAATAGAAGCAACTGGTTACTATATCATTACTCAAGTATTATATATATGAAGCCTGATTTTGCATTTCCAGTGGGGCATGTTAATGGCAACAAAAAAAAAGAGTCACCATCTTCTTGTCCGTGGAATCAAGGCGGAGCCCACCAGCGCCTTACACACAACTCTATTATTCCACTGTTGAGAGCTGTGGATCCCTGTAACAGTACTACCGGTACATGATCTGATGTGAGTGGTTATTCCCTGTATGCAACTCCTGTTTGATAGCAAATCCACACCGAACCTTGTTGGTCACCTGAACGTTACAGCAAAAAACACATCCTCCCAGCCAACAGAAGGTGGCATATGAAATGGCAGGAGCTGGAGAACCCAACTAGTACGGTGCATTGCGTCGTCTCTACCGCCCACTGACCTAAGGCTCTCTCCTCATTCCTCCTCCCCCGCGCGCGATCGCGACCTTGACAACCGTTTGCCTGTGGTCCTCCTCTTCATCTTCTTATTTGCCCTGGTCTTCATCTTGCGGTTGCTCACTCGAATGGAGTCCGCATCTTGCTCCTCCTTCTCATCCCTGCTCCCTGCACTGCGTGCTTCCGCCTCTGCACCACCTTGCTCCTCCTCTCTGCTCCCTGGGTCACCTCTGCTCATGCCGCCACTATTCCCGCCACTATTGCCGTCAACACCTGCGTCTGCATGTGCATGTGTGCGTGCATCGCTGCCATCCTCCTCGTCTGCTGGAGCCTTCTCCTCATGGTCTTGCTCCCCCTCACCATCACTGTGCCCTGACACGCCTTCCTCTCTGCCTTGCTCCACCTCCGCCTCACCACCCTTATCATCTCCCTCCGTTTCCTCACTTTCCTGCACAGCCTCCCCACCCTTCCCTGCACCATCACTCTCCACACCTGCTCCCCCATCACTCTCCTCCTTCCCATCCTCCCCACCCGCCCCACCCTCGCCCCCTTGGCTCTCCCCATCCCCGCCCTCACCATTGCTCACATGGCCTGCTCCCTTGCTCTCCGCCCCGGCCAAAGCACCCCTGTCGCCCTCCTCGCTCTCTGCATGTGCCCCCCCTTTCCCATCCCCATCCCCACTCCTACGCCTATGCCCTTCCCCTTCGCTCTCCCTGCTGGTTACCCCCCCTCCCACATTGCCCTCCGCCACTGTCCCCGCGGCCCCCATGTGCACGTGCGCGCCCTGTTGCCCACCACCGCTGTCACCACCATCTGATGCGCCGCCCACACTGCCGCCCTTCCCAGCACCACCAGCGCCCTCCCTCCAAGCAGCGCCCTTCCCCCCATCAGCAGCGCCCCCCCCAGCAGCAGCCGCGCCCTCCACCACGGACCTCAGACGCTCTACCTCAGGGTCTGGCGGACGCGCGGGGGCGGGGGGAGGGGGAGACGGAAGGGGCGGAAGTGGGTAGGGCGGAGGGGCGGAACAATGGCACGTGGATTAGGACATGGGAAGAGAAGGACAGGCGGAAGAGAGAAGTGGGGCAAAATCGAAAAAGGGGGAGGGCAGGGCGGTAGGCGCGGGAGTCGGAAATAGAGCGGGAACGAGGGAGATGATGGGCAACGACACAGCGGGCCAGGGCGATGGGGACCAGGGGGTGGGCGAGCAGAGTGGGTGAGGTACTGGGATGATGTAACTGCCGTAACGTGCATGGTGGTTGTCTGGGACCCCTACTCCACCGCATGCCACGTGGATCCTGCCGCGCGTAGACACGGGCGCAGGTGGCGCGGACCCCGCATTAACACCCGCCGTCCTCGCAGACTGCCGGCCATTCGCCATGCCCCTATCTCGCGCGCGCGGCATTCGCTGCTCGAGCTCCGCCTCCGCCTTCCCCCGCTGCAACTATTTTTCGCGGCGCGTCTTACCGACTTCCGGCTGGATGGGCGCGTCGGGGCCGTTGTCGGTGGCGGCGAGGCGCCAGTAGATGGGCGGCCCGAGGAAGTACGCCAGTAGCACCACGGCCGCCACCGCCACCACTCGCAGCGCGTTGCGCGGCAGCGTGGAGTGCGGCGTGGCGTGCATGGCGGCGAGACGAGCGACGCGAGCAGAGGAATGAGGGACGGGGAGAAGGGCAGCGAGAGTGAACGGTAGAGTGAGGTCGGCAGGTTGTGGGTGATACGGTGGGTGGGATGCTGGCAATTGACGGCGATCAGCAGCAGCACCTTTCAAGGCTGGCGGAGTGGTTGGTTGAGGGGTTCAAGATTTCGATTTATTGTACAGTGAAGAATCAGGTCACGTATTACTTTTCCAAAAATGTAAATGACCACCAGGCCACTGCTTTGTTTCTTTCACCGAGCGTTTGGAAATCCAGCATTTGTCACACAAAACACGTTCTCTTCAGGCTGTCAACTGCATCCTAAGGATCAGCACCCGACAGCAACATTCAATCCTACTAACTCAACTTCCACCCCCAAAAATCTCAACTCCACACAAGCGGGAGAGAGGCGCGCGGGCATTTAATTGGGGAGCTCGCCCGAGTCGGCAATGACGCAGGGGGCCTTGGGCCGGTCCATGCGGTCCGTCTGCTGGCCCTCTATGGTGCGCACCACGTCCAACCCCTCCAACACCTGCCCAAACACCACATGCTTGCCGTCCAGCCATGGCGTCTGCACATGCACAACAAGTACAAAACAACAAAAAGAATGAAAGTGCACACACATGGTAAGGCCAGGACCATACACGCGCACGCCCACATGGTAAGCGTGTGCGCCCACATGGGAGCAGGCAGGGAGCAGGCAGCAAGCAGGCGGACATCGTGTAGCGGGAAAGAGAAAGTCAGTGGTGGAGCTCACAGATGAGCCCCTGTCCACGTGGGGGCAGGGCGGGAGCGCAGCAGGCGGGGCAGGCAGCACAGCACACTCAATACATGCATTGACACTTGCTCATCATGCTGCGCACCATGCAGCTATGAGCATGTGGCGCATCACACAGAGATGGGCAGAGCCCACCAACCAGTGTCGGCACCGCTGCTGCATCACAATCAAGTATTCCTGACTGCTTTCCAAAACCCTCGCCAGTATCTCCCTTCCCCAGGCTGTAATACCTCAACCGTGATAGAGCGAGCAGCAGGCGCGCAGCAGTGCACGGCGCGGGCTCACCTTGACGGTGCAGATGAAGAACTGGCTGCCGTTCGTGTTGGGACCCGCATTCGCCATGCTCAGGATGCCGGGGCCCGTGTGCTTCACTGCTCACACGCACACCAGAGGTGGGGATAGATCACCGCACGGGCAGTAGTGAGTGCAGGGGAACTGGTGGGTTCACTTTAACACATCACACCAACCAACACTAACACCAATGCATGTGTGAGTACATCATCTCCACTTCCCCCACTCCCCCCCACACTCCCCCGCCCAACCCCCCTACCCCCCTGTTCCCTTCCCCCCATTCTCTTGCAAGCCCAAGCCAGAGCGCACAGCAGTTGCGCGAGCCCGCCCATGAGGAGCGTACATTGGAAGTTCTCGTCGGCGAACTTGAGCCCGTAGATGCTCTTGCCGCCCGTGCCCTGCCGCCGCCATGCCGCATCACCGTGCGCACGCACACCCGCAAGCAAGGGAGGGGCACAGAGGGGTAGGGGCACCCAAAAGCACACGAGATAAATGAGAGATGAGAGAATGCACGGGTGTGAGGGAGAGAGGGAGAGAGGTGAAGAAGTGCGACAGGACGAGGGGACAACGTACAGACCAGGCAATCGGAACGGAGAGACGGAGGAAACAGCAGCGCCAAGTAGAAAAAGAAGGATGGCGAGGCGAGGCGAGGGGAGGCGGGTTGAGGCGAGGAGAGGCGGAGTGGGGCGATTTACATACATTGCCGGCGGTGAAGTCGCCGCCCTGGATCATGAAGTCGCGGATCACGCGGTGGAACGCCGACCCCTTGAACCCGAAGCCCTTCTCGCCTGCCCACGGGAGGAAACGAGAAGAAGAATTTCCCGGGAGGGAGTCAGCGGGAAGCGTCAAGACGGCACGAATCTAGCGCGGGAGAGAAATTGACGGAGGACGAACGGGTGAATGGGATTGACGCAGCGGAATCTACCAACAACGGTACGGCACGGGGTGGCAAGCAGAGGAGGCGCGACGCGCACCGGTGCAGAGGGCGCGGAAGTTCTCGGCGGTCTTGGGCACATTCTCTCCGAAGAGCCCCAGCACGATGCGACCAGCGGGCTTGCCGCCGATCTCCACGTCGAAATACACCTTGTTCGTCACCGTTGGCTCCGCCCCCGCCTGCTCGCCCGCACGCCGCGCAAGGGGGACGAGGAGGAGGCGCAAAGGGGGAAGTGGTTCGGAAGGAAAGAAACGGAAGGGGAAGCGGTAGTGGCGGAGGGGGGGGAACGGGAGGGCAGAGGAGGGGAGGAGAGAAAACGATGGCGGTAGATAAGTTACACCATATTATGGCGAACTTGCGACATGGACGACACGTCGCGAACTGAAAGCAGGGCTGGTCAGCAAACGCGGTGCATAGCCAACCCACCTGAGCGCGGGGCGCCGTGGAGAAGGACGAGACTTGACGGCGGGTGGTGGCGGGCGCCAGGGACGCCGCGGAGAGCGGCGACATGAGCGACGACGACGACGCCGCGAGGGACGCCGCCGAGGAACGAGCCGGCGCCATGAAGGACGCGGCGACCACGCGCGATCTCACGGTCGCAGCCATGGACACGCGCGACACGGCTTGCTGCTCGGGACACGACGAGACAGTTGCAGACAGGTCGGGGTGAGGATGATTGAGTGGAGGAACGCGATAGCAGGGAAGGATGCGCGAGTAATATGTGTGGCCAGCTACAGGCGTAGACCACGGAAGCGAGTGCGATGGACGGGAGAGAGCCGGAAAGGATGAGATGTTTGAGGAAAGGGCAGGAGTCGGCAAGAGAATGAATCACAGCTGCGATTTCGCTGAACAACGGTGAGGCATGATGCAATGACCAGCGCGAATTCATGGAATCGAATTGACTTGAGAGCGTAGGATGCACGGACCCGGAAAAATAATATCCCTAAAACTCGAAAAGATGGCAATGAAGAGGCACTCACAACAGCATGGCTGGAGAGGAGGGACTTGGCCGCCATGGTTGAGAGGTGAAGCAAGGTTGAGGAAAGGTGAATAGGCGCGGGAATAGCAAGCACAACAGAGCCCAGCAGAGCAGAAATGAGTTTGCGAGGAGGGCGAGGCAGGGGTGGAGCGGGCGGAGTGTGCAAGGAAGAAACGGGAAGGTCAGACGGGCCAGTGATGACGTGGACCGATGGAGGCAAGAGATCAGTTGACACGTCAATATGGCTTTGATGGATGTGACCCTTGTGTGCACGACAGGCGACGCTGACTGGGCGCTAGCTGAAAAGCTAGGTGGCAACATTGGCTAGATCGCGAATTGGGGAGTGTTGCCTCTGAGGAGTAGTTGCCTCTTTGTTTGCAGACATACCTTGTGTGTCTTCTGTAGACTCTCCTCTATATGGTTGTTTCAGTACATAATACAATCGGATTTCAGTTGTAACATATTCTTGGTTGGGGATGTACCACAGTTTCATATATTAGTTTATGCCCTGTGGATGGGTATGCTACGGCACGCGCCTCTCTGGACGGGCCCTCAAGCCCGATCCAGTTGATCGTGTCGCTCGCGCTTCGATCGCCCCGCCCTGGTCTGCTTCCCCCTCCTTTTCCTCTGTTTTGGCTTTCGTCGCGTCTGCCTCTTTCTCCCTTTCTCGTTCCTTTTCTGTGTCCTTGCACGATGGACTCTCAGATGATGCTCGATGTTGACCTTGACGTCTCTGATCATGCGCTAGAAGAATTCTTTGCAGAGAGCGAAGAACTTCAGTCTAAACGCCCTCGTGACGACGACTCTTCCTCTGCTTTCTCCCACCCCCCCAAGCGTGCCTCCTCTCCCGCCCCTAGTGCAGTGATGGCGGATCCGATGCAAGCTGAGCCTGAGGTCCCGCCGCCTCGTCCTGCTGCCTCTCTTCCGCCACGAGCCCCTCTGCCCTCTCGTCCGAGTGGCGGTACCCGCGCGGCGGTGTCGTCTCCGGCGTTGGGTGCGATTGGCGCCCAGCAGGAAACTGAGTCTTCGGCAGACGCGCCGTTCCCTCCCCCCCCTCCGACATCTGCCCCTGTCACCTCCGCTCCTGTCCCTGCTCCTGTTACCCGTGCTGCGGCTCTGCGTGCACGTAACGCCCTTCTGCGCCGTTACACTGACGCTGTCCTCGAGTCTGTCACCAGGGATCCGGCGCTCACTGTCACCATTCTGATGGAAGAGAAGTTCGCAGCGGAAAAGCTTCGGTCTGCGATTCATCTGGCGATCATGGCGAAATTTCGCGACGAACAGTTCCCCGGTGGCGTGATCCCCCTCTACGAGACCTCTTCTGGCGATCTGCTTAAGCTGCCTCGTGCTTCCTATGGTCGGCAGCTCTACGCCTGGCCGACCGCCGCCGATGCTCGTGTCTTCCGCGACTCTTTCCCCATGCGTGTGCGCCTCGCTGACGGGCAATTTGTTGAGCTTCGTGTTTTTCAGGAGACGTCTCCTGGCTTCGCCTCAGCGAAAGCACAGGGTGCGACGACGATCCTGGTCCGTAACCTTCCGGATAACTGTGACATCGCCCGCGTGCGTGCTAAGCTTCTTTCTGGCAGGACCGGCGGGCACAAGTGGCTGGCCACGCTGGAGCATTTTCATCGTGTGAAAAATCCGTTTACGGGTTTCGATCTGCCTCAGTTCGCCGGAATCGTCACGCCGGTCACTGGTGATCCGGACTTCGCTTTCCTCCCCCCTGTCCTGCTTCCCCCTAACCCTCTCCTGGGCGATCCCATGTATGTGCACCTGTCGTGCCATACCTGCGCCATCTGCGCCAGCAACCATCGCACCAATGATCACGAGGTCTTCGCGGTGTATCGCGCTGGCAAAGCTCCCAACCCGTCCCTGCTGACGGTCCTGCAGCTTCAACAGCACAATGGTACCGCCTCTCTCGCCCCGGCGTTCTTCTCTTTGTGTTTTGTCCCTCTGCTTCCATTTCTGCTTTTCTGCCTTCGAAGGTTACGCCTCTTGTTTCTGGTTCGCTTCTCTTCTGCATGGTCTGCTCTTTGCCCCCTTCCCCCCTTTACGTACCTTCCGGCTCTGCTTGGCTGGATGGTCGTCTATCCTGGGCGCTGGGCCCCGGTCTACTTCTCCCTTCCTCCCTGTTCTTCTGGCCCCCTCTCTCTGCTTGCCTCTTCACTCTGCCCCCTACCTCAGGTCAGAATCTTGGACAGACGCCGGCAATCATGGCCTTCCGTGCGGATCCTGGTCTCCTGCTCATCGGCATGGAGTACGCTGTGGAGCCCTGGACCTGCTCCCTCTGTGATTTCGTCTGTGGCCCAGCGTTGGATAGCGCCCTGGACCATCTCCGCTCGGCGGAGCACGTCTCCAAGCTCAACAGCCCGGAGGGTGTGGTGGTTCCCCGCCTCGCCCAAGGGAACCAGAAAGCGGCGCGACTGGTGCAGCACCCTACTGTCGCCGCCTTCCTGGCATCTCAGGCCATGGCCTCTGAGGAGTAGTTGCCTCTTTGTTTGCAGACATACCTTGTGTGTCTTCTGTAGACTCTCCTCTATATGGTTGTTTCAGTACATAATACAATCGGATTTCAGTTGTAACATATTCTTGGTTGGGGATGTACCACAGTTTCATATATTAGTTTATGCCCTGTGGATGGGTATGCTACGGCATATCAGGGCGTTTGCATTTCCTCCATGAAAATCCCCCTACGCATTACCAGCATTAACATCAATGGTCTTAGCACTACTGCTAAAATGGACTTGTTTCGCGCATGGCTAGTTCACCCGCCTGACATCCTCATCCTCATCGACACCCGCGTCACGACCACTTTCCGCGAGCTCTTGTTTAAATTTAAGCCACGAGCGTACGCACACTCTCCGCCCTCTGTAGTCGCTGGGAGAGTACGACCGGGCGGTATCATCGTCCTAGTGTTTAACAAGCGCATCACCATCACTGAGCGAGCACCCTCCTCGGACAATCGCCTCCTGAGACTTCATCTCAGCTTCCTCCAGCTGCATCTGGGCTTGGTCGCAATATACCCCTCCACCCATGCGTCTGTCCGGAGACGTTGGTGGAACGATACTCTGCACCCTGCCTTGACCGCCTGCACCAACTGTGATGGGATCATCTTGGCAGGTGATTTCAACGCTGTTATCGACCATCTCGATCGTAACCGCCCCCTCCTGCAGCATGAGCTAAGCGAAGCCAGCATCCTTAACAACCTCCTCAACACTCACGGTCTCGTTGACTCCTTCAGAATCCACCATCCCTCTCTCCCCTCTTTCTCTTTTGTTTCGCATGCACGCGCTGGTTTGGCGTCCAGCCCGGCCTCTCGCCTGGATAGAATTTGTGTCTCACATGGTTGGCTCTCCCAGCTCCAGTCGGCTGACCTGGTCGCCATCTCCCCCCAACTCTCCGACCATTTTCAACACCCTGTGTGCACCATCCTTGTAGACGACCCCAACACGGCCCCTAGACCCTGGAGGTTTCCTCACTCTCTCCTCCGCAAACACTGCGTTCAAACCCTTGTCCAGAAAGCGGTAGACTCCCTCCCTCTGCTGTTGTCCCCTCTTGATTGGGACTGTTGGAAAGCCCGTCTTTGTACCCGCCTGCGGTCTTTCTCCTCGGAAGAACGCACCCGTGTCCGCAAGACAATGACGCACCTCCAGTCGGTTGTCGCTACGTGCCAACTCTCCCTCCTTCGCTTCCCCCATAACCCCCTTATACAGCACCGTCTACAGCAGGCTTCCCGACAGCTGGAACAATACCTTTCCTCTCGTGCCGCTGATATCGCCTTCAAAGCCAAGCTCAAAGTGGAGGGGGCCCGTGAGATGGGGGTCCCGTCTCTTCTCAGTGGCCTCAACTCTCATATCAAGGCCTCGCAAGTCTCCGCGATCACACTCCCCTCTGGCCGCCTCACCTCCAACCTCGGCGAAATCACCGCCCACTGCACCTCCTTCTTTTCCAACCTCTACGGGGCCCCTCCCCAACCCGCTCGTCCGTCGGATTTCTGGCATCACCTCCCCCCCTCATCCCCACCGTCAGCTTTGTTGCTTCCCTTACAGGCGCCCTTCTCGCTTGCCGAAATTGATCGGGCAATGGCCTCTCTCGCCCCTGGCAAGACGCCCGGCAGCGATGGCCTGCCGGGAGACTTCTTCCGCTTTTACCGTGCTCTCCTCGGCCCGGTCTTCCATCAACTCTTCGCGTCAATCTGGCGCTCTCAGTTGTTGCCCCCCTCTATGAGAGGTGGTCGCACTGTCCTCATCCCCAAACGGCAGGCTTCCTCAATGGTCGAGGATCTTCGCCCTATTACGCTCATGAATGCTGATTACAAAATTCTCGCCATCTGCCTCGCCAACCGTCTTCAACCTGTTCTGCGACACATTAACCACCCCGCCCAGACAGCCTTTGTGCGTGGGCGTAGCATTGGAGATACGATCAACGACACTCTCGACTTAATGGAATGGGCAGTTGCCCGCTCCGTACCCCTCCTTGTACTCACTGTAGACATTCGCAAAGCATACGACCTAGTAGATCGCGAGTTCATGTACCAGTGTTTGTCCTATCTCGGCCTGCCTTCCGACTTCATCACTTGGGTACGCCTCCTCCACACTGACACCTCAACCCGGGTACTGGTCAATAATCATCCAGGACCCGACTTCCCGGTCCGCTCAGGCGTCCGTCAAGGCTGTCCCCTAGCCCCCCTCTTGTTCATCTGTGTCATCGAGGTCCTTCACCGCCATCTGTCCTCTGCCCTCCCGGGTTTCGCCTTCTCTAACCACCAACGGCGTCTGGCAGCATGCTATGCCGATGACATTTCCATTTTCCTCAACTCAGACTCCGAACTTCACACTGCCTCCCAGCTTTTGGACTCCTTTGCCCTGGTCTCCGGGGAACAGCCTAACTGGAATAAGTGCTCCATCCTCCCCTTTAATATCCCGCACCAGCAGATTATGCATGCAGGCCCCATTCCGGTGCGCCAGCCCGAAGACGCTGAACGTATTCTGGGTGTGTTCGTTCAACAGACCCAACCCGGAGTCAGGACGTGGGAACAGATTCTCGCCACAGCCTCATCCACCATCGCATTTCTCTCCAAACTCCACCTCACTGCTTCGTGCCGCGCTGCCCTTGTCACTGAGAGGGTCATCCCCCGGATTGCCTTTGGCGGCCGCTTTCAGCCTCCTCCCCCTCGATTGCTTAAGCAGCTGGACATGCTCGTTGGAAATTTCCTCTCCGCCAGTAAGCATCACTACACAGGCCTCGTCTCCCGGCTTCTCACCAAACGCATCCTCTATAATAAAAAACAACACGGCGGGATCGGCGGTCTCGAACCCTCGCAGTACGTCTCTGCCCTCAACGTCCAGAGAGCCTGCCGCCGTTTCCGGCCCACCCCGTTTGAGGACATCGCACGCAGCTGCTCCACCTTGCCTTTCGGACTTCATTGCTTCCTTCTCCACCCCCTCATCTTGAGACATCTCCATGTCTCCACCCCCGCGCGTGCCAGGGCTGAACTTGAGTCCTTCCTGGCCATGTCCCCGCTCATTCACCCCCCACGCCTGGAACCTTGGGTCCTACTGGCAGAACCTCTCCCCTTTAATCGTTTTCTCCTCAAGCCGGACGGGCAGCCCTTTGGTGGTCTCAAAGAAGAACTGCCTCTCTTCACCCTCCAACTCCGCCTTGGTCATCTCCTCACCCCTACAGAGACTGGTCTTCGTCGCCTCTCCAGAGTTGAAATTTTCCGTCAATTCCCTACTGCTCGTTTCCCCTGCAGCAGACGTATCCTCACTGCCATTATCGAAGCGGTTCCTCTGGACTGGTGGGAGGTCCTACTCCCTTTTCAACGCCCTCTGGGTTCCTTGGCTGCAGGCGATTGGACTGTCCCTGTCTCCCCTCCTCCCCTCTCTCCCCCTCACCTTCTGCAGGTTCGGTTCCCATTACCAGGAGGTCTGGTGGTAGCAGATAGGTATGACATCAGTTGTAGACGTGTAGGCAGGGAACCCGCCAGTTGCAGCATCGTCCCCGAGCGCTCCCTTCTCACCATCCTCGTCCGTGACAGATGGATCCATGGCCCCTTTTGCTCCGGTGCTGGGTTAGCTGATCGCATAGACTTGCTCCGCCCTGGACCACCATCCTTAGCAGTCCTTCGCAAACAGTTCTACCGCCCCCAGCCGCTCTCCATACAGGAAGCCTGGTCGACGGCGTTACAGATCCCTGTCCCTGCACTGCCCTCGCTTAGACACCCCTTTCTCCGCGAGCAGCCCAGTCGCCCCCGTGACCTCCTCCTCCGCCTTTTTGCACGAGCCCTTCCCACAGGTGCCCGGTTCCGCTTCATGGAAGATGGTGGCAGCTGTCGTCGCTGTCAACCCAGACCCCTTGAGACCCTCCTACACGTCTTCAATGAGTGTGGCCCAGCGGCGTCAGTCTCAGCGGCTCTCTGTCGGGTAGCCCGCTCGCACCTGGGAGTGACTGTCCCGGCTCCGCTTGTATTCTTCCCTCTCTCCCACCCTGCTGGACAGATTGCACCTTGGTGTTTGTTGGTGGGCGCTGCTGCCAAGACCCTCTGGGATGAGCGCTGCGCGGCTGTACATCAGCGCGAGTCTTCCTCAGCCATCTCCATCCTGCACCGTGTCCTAGGAGCTTTCCTTTCCGCTTGCAAGCTTTTCTTCTGGCAGCGGAAAGTGCGGTCGATCAAATTCCAAAGAGCAACGGCATCCAGGGTTCGCTACGCCCAGTCTCTCCGCCTCCTGTGCTTTGACTCTTCTTTGTACCCTTCAATACACCCAGCACTACAACGGACCTGGCTCCTGAACGACCCTTTCCGCCCCCCGTGAACGTTGCATCCTCACCTAGGCCTGGTACCGGCCATCAGGTGGTCCCTGGTGCCAGCAGGAGTCCTGCTGGGCAGCTAGCACGATACAGTGCAGGTTGTTTTTACGACCTTGATTCGTCATCATTGCTGTTGCTTGTATCATTTGTATTGGTTACGACCATCAATAAAACTTAAAACTTAAAGCGAATTGGGGAGTGTTCTGTAACAGCTCGCTCCAGCGATTGGTTTACTTACAGGCATCCATTAAAGTATGACTGTGACTATGCTAAGCCTTTTGGACATTCTTTTTCACAATCACTCTACATCAATATTCCATCATCCTGCATGCAATATAATCCAAAAAAATGTTCACTGGCTGCGAACATATCTTTTTAACTACTCCAAAAACACCACTGCAGACTTCACATCCTTCCAGAATGCCTGTGTTGTCAATCCAGTATCGGGCAACTATTACCGTATTCTTCAAGCTGAAGGCTCTGGAGTAGATTGCTTGTAATAAATGAGCTTGCTCAAGTCGAATCCTTGGTCAGCAGCCATCTGTGGGTGGAAAATGGAGGGCATTTAAATGAATGCAGTCCTTGTAACAGGATATGCCATAACAAGCTCCAGGGAATGGATGGCACACGAGTCTCTCCTTACCTGCAGCAGCTTATCAACAACCTCCTTAGGCAACTCCGGAGTTCTGCTGTGTATCTGCATACAGGACATAACAGGAGCCACCCCAGGTGTTACATATTAGGATGGAGTTACTGACAGGAACAGTAAATCAGAGTCCAGTGAGGCAGAGCAGAGAGGCACGGATGGCAACAAATAGGGCAATGGGCCACTACCAGGTTCAACGAACAATGTGGCTCACTGGCAATTTAGTGCCACGTCCTCTAGTTGCTGTCGTACATCTTCTCACTCGCTTTCGCCCATGATACTCCTTCACTCGCTCATGCACCCTACACGTACCCAGAGCGCCTGCTTAGCAGGCTGGCCGTGCAGCATGTACTGGGGGTTGTCGCCTTCCTCCATCGCCATCACCCAGATGTCCGTGTGCACAGGAATGATCGGCGCAAACGGCGGCACCCATAACGTCTGCCCGAACCGCGCCTCGACGCCCGCGTCTTTCGCCTTCGCCAGCTTACCCTGAACCAGGGACGAGGAGGCGACGGGGGCGTAAACGGAAGAGATTCCAAGGGTAGGGAAGAGATGTGGAGGGTAGAGTGGAGAAACCGGCCGAATGAGTAAGAAGTTCGTGCTTACCCTCTCTTCTCCTCCTCTTTCCTGGTCCCTCCCTGATTCTCATTCCTCATGGTCGCACCTCCACTTTCCCGTGTTTGCCGCTGGCCATGATGGCTTCGTTGACCACCTTGAGGCTAGCGCCGTCCTTGTTCACCGTGTACGTTGTCGTGTTGCCGCTGCTGTCCGTCGGCTGCCCCTTGGGCGGGATGCTGGCTATGGTGTACCACTTCCCCGCCATCACCGCTATGTCCAGCCCCTTCACTGCCTGCACCGACTTACCGTCCGCAGCCATCGCAAACGACCACAAAAAAAAAAAGTAGCGCAAGAGGAGACACAAGAGAAGGAGGTCGGGCAAAGAGCGGGAGGCACTACAAGAATGCGCGAGACCAGGTTTCGGTTACGTCACTATGGAGAACGATGAGCCTAGGTAACTATCGAGAATCAGAGATTCACTCTTCTGGGTCCGAGCAATGATACATGGCAGCGCCTTTATATCTAAATCTACAATCACATTTGCAAGGCCAAGAACGGAGAAACCTGGATGGAAGAAAGTGAGGGTGGAGTTCTGCCCAAACGCGATCTCAATAGTGAAATTTGATGAACTTCCACAAATACAGTACCCGGATTTGAGATGTTCTACGATCGCATATAAACGGAAATGTAATCGAAACTGTAGAACTCAATCCAGCCACGACACAACACCGAGAGCGGTGGTGATCATCCCACTCCCGTCCATATCATATCCGTCGTCACACTCGCCCAGCCCTGTATCCAAAAATCCTGAAATCTAGGGATTCGGCAAACTCGGGAGAGTGAGCGTGTATGTGGAGGGCGACTGAATGTTACCTAGGTAACGTCGGGCAGTTGTCGCCATCAAGGTTGCGATTTTCGCCACTGTGTAAGGAATTCGCAGCAACTTTTGCGAGGCTTGCGACTGCGATGGCCATGGATTCATTTCTCCCCACCCCATCCCAAGTCAGGTAACCAAGACCAACCCCTCCTTCACTCCTCGTGCCTGGACTGGTCTGAAAGCAAGACTTCATCCCGCCGCTTCTGCCGCTCATAGCTCTCTTGAATCATGGCTTCCCGGTCGAGCCTTAAGACTACTGGTAAACTCGGGAGGCCGATCCTGCACCGTAGCTCCTTGCCAGCCTTTTATGCGGCTCTCTTGTTCTGACATTGACATCGCACGCTGAAGTTAGTGTCAGGCCGAGCGAGGCGACTGGCAAGGTCTGTGCTGTGGGATCCCCCAGTGGCTCTGTGTGAAGCACGTGCGTCAATCTCGCACCTTGCTCGTCGATCTTAAGTCACCGCCGAGAGTAGTGGCGAAGAGCCCAGTCGCTTCATCCGTCTGCCTGCAGCACAGGATTTTTGCCCGCACTCATCGCAATCCCCGCTGCATCCCACTGTCCTTCCCGGAGACCACCTTTCTTAATGTGCGTCAGACTGCGGTAGTCATCATAACAGGATTCCTTCTTTCTTCTCAACATCGTCAACACTCCGCAACCCATCGTTCCTTCCGCGATCACATTGACGCTGACTGGCACCACCGCGTCGTCTAGCATTGTCCCTGGTTCCTTCCGCTTGCGGCGATCCAGTGTCGTGCACTCGCCCTTCTTCCCGTCAGCTAGTCCACTGCTCCATCTCCTCTCCTCGCCCCTTGCCTCGCTGGCAAGTGCCTTGCCAACTGACCATCGCGCAACGCGATCACCGCGCTGCCACCTGTCACGTCTCTCCAATCCCTCAACCTCGTGCATACGTGTGCGCCTGTGACTCGCTGACGTCAGATTTGGTAGATAGTCGCAGCCGTCGACTAGAGCGAGAGGGGGCAGCAGAACCTCGACAGCACGGGCAGCATTGGCCGGCCCTATGTAGGTCGGGCGCGTCAACCTTTCGCCACGACATTGGAAGCCGTTAACCGGTTCGCGACGGTTTCGCTAGAAGCAATCATCACGTTGGGGCGGGGCTGTAGCGACGGCGCAGTGCCAGTGCGAGGGAGTGGGTGCAGGGCGCGAGTGGCGGCGCCATGGGCAGTCGCGAGGGGTACGGCAGCGGCGGCGAGCTTCCGTTCATGTCCTCCCGCGCCCGCTCGCAGCGCCGCGATCTGGATTCGTGCTCCTTCCTCGAACCTGGGTGGGTCGCGGGGTGCGGGCGGCTAGCAGACAGCAACGGCCTTGGCAAGCCAAGATATCGTGGACATTGATGTAGCATTCACCTTTGCGGTTCATTGCCTCGTGTACTCATGCCAAGAGGTTCCCATTGTTCGTGCGTGTTTGTCGACTGGTACTGAGCAGGAACGAGTTCTCTCGCCGTCCATCACTGCTGAATGACAACTTGGATGGCGGCCGCCCCAGGTGAGCCCTCACACGACACGCAAATGCACAGCACGCGGTGGGGGGTTGGGGCCTTGGTAGGCCTTGATTGTGACGACTCGTCCCTTCGCTCTCACTAACTCACACTGTGCATGGCCCGCTGGCCGCCACTGCTGCCCCTGCGTGTGTGTGGGTGCAGCCATGAGTTTGCTCGACGGCCGTCCCTTCTCAGTGATAACATGGACCCCTTCCGATCCAGGTACGCTCTCTCCCGCCTTCTCCGGCTGCGGCTGCTGTTGCTGCTGCTGCACCATTCCCACCTGCGCATGGCCTTCGCTTCTTCTTGCACCCTGCCTCTCCGTCATTACTCGCCCCAAATCATGTCTGTGCATACTCCAAACCTGTCTGCAATGTTTCTTTGTGTGTCCCTCCGCCATCCCCCCCCTCGCCCCTCGCCCCTTCCCCCGGTCCCCTGCGTCCCTCCCTCCTGCCAGTGCGAGAGGGGGTCCATCGCTGTCATCACTGACGGGTTCATCACTGGACCCAGTGGACGCGGCTCTCTCGCAGCCCGCCCTCTCAGCGCACCCCATGCGCGCTCCCACGCCCCTCGATGCCGCCGCCGCCGGCGTCTCAGGCACAGGCGTTGCTGCCGCCACTCGCTCGTGAGCCCTGCTCCTACTGCCACCCTCTGCTCCTCTCAACCTGCCGTCCCTTCCACACTCTTCCGCCTTTCTTGTCCCACTCTCACCCTCCTGTCTCGCCTTGCTCTTCGCCCGACCAACCATGCATTGCTGTCCCTCACGTCCGCTCTTGCCCCTTGTGCACTTCGCCCCGCGTGTGCCTGCACTGCAGTGTGGAGCGCTACATGTCGTACCTCTCTGGCGCCTCCTCCCGCCGCCCTGCCGCCTATGCGCCGCCCTCGGCCCTCGCCATCCCATCTGTTGCCGCACCCTCTGGGAACGCGCTTAGGTGAGGCACACACTCAGCGGATGTTCATCGCTGCTGCATGGGCTGGGTTTGCTTGCAGCGGGAGAAGCTGAGCGGCTCTCACTCGCAGGCTCTGTTGTGCTGCCTTTAATTCTGTTGGCGTGCAATTGGTGCCAGCCTGCCAGGTGGCATCTCTCCTCTAACTTCCGCCCTGGGTAACCTCTTCCTCGCCCCCTCCCTCCACCCATCCTTGTTCCTCTCCCCCAACCCTGCTTGACTGCTGATTCGTTACTTCCCCTGGCTGGTGTGGCATGGCGGCGTTGTGTCCCCTGGTGCTGGCAGTCCCACGAGTGAGCCCGAGGGCAACATGCGGCGCCACCGCAGCAGGCGCAGGGCCATGCAGGAGGACAGGCTGGGCCACCTGGCCGGCAGGTCCGTTGGGCACGGGGGAGGGGGAAGCTGCTGGGGGAAGGGGCACGGGAAGAGGATAAAGAGGGAAGCACCCTTGCTGAGTGCTCGGGTAGAGTGTGTGTGGGGGAGAAAGAGAGAATTGGCCATGTGAGTGGACTAACCTTACTTGCGGGGGCGGTTCACAGAGAATCGAAATTCCTGCAAGGGGTGGCATCATGATACCAGTCTGTGAGCTGTGCTCCTGGGAGCACATCTATTTTCTTTTGCAGGCCTTTCTCTCGCAGCCATCTAATCCCGCCCATCCTTCGCATTCGCAGCCCCTCACTCTCTCTTCCCTCATCCCACCCGTGCGTCACAGGACGCACATGCAGCACTCGCGGTCAGCCAATGCGTGTGAGCGCGGATTCATGAGTGGCGGCGAGGGGGGTCCGGGGCGGTACGAGCGCATGTCCATGCTGAGCGGTGCTGTGAGCGAGTCCGAGGGCGCTGTTGCCATGACCACACGCGCTGCCGCCTACCTCATGCGCCACACTCCCCCCTCGGGCAGTGTTGAAACCAGGTACAGCGTACAAACGATCAGCAGCACTTGTGACTGCCGCTGTTGTGTTCCACTTGTGACCACTGCTGGTATGCCCTGGCAGGTTCTTCAGGATCCCGCCAGGAGTGAGAGTCCATTCCAGTCGCCTCATCTCATGCATTCAGGACATGTGGTTTTTCCCTTCTCAGCCCACCGCGCCACCCCACCCTCACCATCCCCCCTCTCTCTGCTCTGCTCCTGTGTGGCAGTCCTGAGGCAGCGCAGGCATACCGGTCGCGGTCGGACAAGAGGATGGGGTCGGCAGCTGCAGCAGCGGTGGCAGCTGTGAGCTCGGGCTACGACTCGCCCACGCCGCCCTCCTCTGCTGCTACACTCGCTGCAGGGGCAGGGGGGATGGGTGCAATGGGGGGAATGCAGGCAGCGGCGATGGGAGGGCCAGTGCCGCCAGGTGCAGGAAGGTGAGCTGTGTGGTGGGTAGTGCTGCTCGTCTGAGCCTCCATGCTCCCTGCTCGCACTACACTGCTCTCAAAATGCTGAGCTTACCCCATGCTGTCTGTTGCGCTGCGCTGCTGCTGCATGGCCAGCCAGGCATGTGTGGTTGGTGGCACGACATTGTACAGCGGCATGCATACAGAACATGATGTTCACACCCATAACACCACACCCCCTTGGTGCTATGTGCATGTGTGTGCCATGGCATGGCAGGACGGATGGCAGCATGTCAGACCACTCGTTCATGTCAGCGCGAACCAGGGCGTCTCTGGCGCCCATGCACAGACGCTCCTTCGACAACTCCTCCCACAGGTGCAAAGCCTTGCCCTTCCCTTCCTTCTCCTGCCCTTGCTTTCTCTCTCGTACCGTCTCTCACGCCGTCGCTCGCACCTTCGCTCATGCACTCTCTCGCTGACGGTGCGCATGTGGGCTCCTGTGTACGCTCTCTGCTGTGAGCAGTCAATACCGGCGCAACACTGTGGGGTCCGATGTTGAGGACTCCAGGCAACTCCCGCCCAGGTGTGTTGCACGCCCTGCTCTGCCGTGCTTTTCTGTGCTGTGCTGTGCTGTGCTGTGCTGTGCTGTGCTGTGCTGTGCTGTGCTGTGCTGTGCTGTGCTGTGCTGTGCTGTGCGGTGCCATGCCAAACTATGCTATGTTGCAACGGAGGCACAACATCACATTCCTCTCTGCGCTGCGTGACGCACACACACCCGCACCTGCAGTATACTTATATCCACCAAAAAAAAAAAAACAAAAACACCTGCACCTGCACCTGCACCATGTACCCCTTACCCCCCTTGATTCAGCTCAATACTGGGCGGGGATGCAGCAGCATCAAGCTCGTCCACCATGGGTGCAGGCGCCCCACCAGGAGGGCTGGCTCCCACGCCTCCTGTGGGTCCCTTTGAGCCGGCGCCCCCTCTCGTGCGCCGCCGCACCTACTCTGCTGCTGACGGCTCAGCAGAGGTCTCAGCGGCAGGCATGGAGCAGTACGTGTGGGGTGGGCTAACAGGGCGCTTGGGTATCGATAGGGAGCCAAGGCGTGCGTGCAGGGGGTGCAGAGAGTGTGTGGGAAGCTGCTGTCGAGCTACATTTGGTTGCATGGCTTGTCGACCTCCTTTGTTGCCCGTGTGCATGAGAGGTGTATGTATGGAGCACTTGCTTCACCTTCCATTGCCTTATCGACCTCCCTTATTGCCCTTTGTGTGGCATGGCATGGAATGGCAGGAATCGCACGTTCCTGCCCACACCGCCCCCGCGCAGAGGAGTGGGAGAACCATCAGCTCCACGGTGAGACTGCTTCCCTACTGCTCTCTGCTCTGCCATGGTGCAGTTATGCACCATGCACCATGCACATGCACCATGCACCATGCACCATGCACATGCACCATGCACATGCACCATGCAGCGCAATGCATCCATCAAGCACATTCTCACAATAGAACCCATGAAACCACGCCACTCACTGCGCCCAGCCACTGCTCAGCTGCTCGCATGTCTGCTCCCATTATCCCATCCGCCGCTCCTCAGCATTGTGCTCTCCTTTTCCGGCCCTCCCTCTCTCTTCCACCCTCTCCTCCCCACCCTCTCCTCCCGGCCCTCTCCCCTCCACACTCTTCCCCCATCCGCCCCCTTCCCTCCCCTCTCCCCCCGTCATGGGTGTGAGCAGGGGAAGGCGGCGCACGACAGCACCGGAGGTCAGCGATGAGGTCGCCAAGTGAGTCATGCCACGCACACTGCAACCCCATGCCACGCCATGCCATGCCATGCCATGCCATGCCCTAGCCTGCCATTGTCTCCTCGTGTGTGTCTGTGCCATGCTCTTTCCACACTACCCCTGTCCATGCGCTCCTCCTAACGCACCTCACTGCTCTGCTTGCATGGGTGGGTGCTTCCAGGAAGGTGCGGGAGTACAACGAGGCGATTCGCAGGGACAGGAGGGCGTTGAGAGTGGAGACGGCAACAGCAGCAGCGGGCGAGCAGCAGCTCACGGCGGATGGCAGCGACCTCTCCACTGCTCCCTCGCCGCTCCCCCCCACCTCCTCCACCTCCGTCTCAGCCGCGCCCTTCTCCTCTGTCCTGGTCAGTCCCTATCTCTGCCTCCTTCCACTGCCTCTTTCTTTGCCTCTCCCCTGCCTGCCCCCCGTCCTCCTGCCATGCCCATGCGACCTATCAGTGTGTCTCCACAGCATCTCACTGCACCACCTCCCGCATCCTCGTCTCACCACATCCCGTCCAGTATCCCCTATTCCAAGTATCCGTTTCCATGTCCTCATCCACTCTTACTCAACTCTGTTCCTCCCACCTCGGCCTCCGCTCCCTTCCATCCCACGTGCCATGCCCCTCCCCTGCGCCCTGCCCAGCGTGTGTGTCCCACGTGCCACCAGCACTGGCCGCTCACCACAGCACAGCTCTCCCCTGCCATCCCCGCCACTGCTGCCACCACCCCCTCCACCGCCACCACCCCTGCTGCCACCTCCGCCCCCGCTGCTCCGCCTGCTGCTGCTGCTCCGTCACTCTCTCGTGACTCCAGTGGTGGGGGGCCGGGGCAGCTGGGAGGAGACGAGCAGCGTGCAGGGGAGGGTGGGGGGGAGGAAGCGGGGGGGATGAGGCCGGATGAGGGGGACGCTGGGGGCACAGGCGAGGGTGGGGAGGGCAGTGGGGAAGGGCAAGGAATAAAAGAGACAGGGAGAGCTGATGAGGAGGAAAGAAAGTGCAGAGGGGAGAGCGGGGGAAAAGAGGGCGGTGTGGAAGATGGAGGTGGGGTGGAAAACGGTGGCGCGGGGAAAGGAGGGAAGGAAGTAGGTGCGGAGGAGAGATGTGGGGAGGAAAGAGGTGGGCAGGAGAAGGCTGAAGAGGGGAGGGATGGCGAGGAGGGAGCAACGGTGCAGCAAGGTGAGAACGCAGAGGGTTCTCAGAAGCAAGGAGCGGAGGGGAAGGAGGTAGGAGATGGGGAGCAGTCAGGGACAGCAGCAGTCACAGCAGGTGAAGGTGCAGGTGGGGGTGCGGGTGAGAGCGGTGGGAGCATGCAGCGGCAGCGGCCCGGCATGAGCCATCGGTCGCAACCATCCTTTGGCAACACCAGTGGCAGCTCAGGCTACGTCAGCCCTCTCCAGTCCGCCTCTCCTCGCCCGCACCACCCTGCCTCGCCACCGCCACCCGCCTCCTCCCACCCGGCCTCTCTACGGCGCCCCACACCCCCCGGGGCTTCAGCCCCGGGCAGTGGAGCCCTGTCGTCTGCACCGGGGAGTCAGCACCAGGGCGTGCCCGCTGCTGCTGCGCTGCCTGCTGCTCCTGCTGCTCTGGTGCCAGTGCCACCCGTGGCAGCGCAGGCAGTGCTGGGCAGCGAGCAGTGGACCATTGACTTCAATGAACTGCGCCTGGGCATCCGAGTCGGCATCGGTGCGTGCTTGCTTACCTTGTGCCTCGCCTCAGCTCGCTCCTGATCCCCCCCTGCCATTCCCTTCTCATGCTTCCACGTATTCTGTTCTTGATTATCCACTCAAGTGCGTCCTCTCTTCTTAGGATACTTCTCGTTGCCTCCTTCCTGGTGCTGGGTGCAGGGTCGTTCGGAGAGGTGTTCAGAGCGGTGTGGAGGGGCACGGAGGTGGCGGTGAAGCGGCTGTTGGTGCAGGACGACCCATCGCCAGAGGAGTACGAGGACTTCTACAACGAGGTCTCGCTGCTCAGGTCACACCACCGTCCCCACACTACGCTCCCTGCTGCCTCCTCCTCACTGCCGCATTCGCGTTCCCACGTCCATGCCATCGTACCAGTTGTTTCTTGCCTTGCTCTCATTGCCATGCTCTGTCCTCCGTGCGGCCGTGCATGCATCACCTTTCCCATGGCTGAAGTAACCCCACATGCTTTGTGCATGCTGTACAGCCCACTCTCGACTCACCTATCCCATACATTGCACGTGTATCTGTGTGTGCATGTGGTGTGCTTGTGTCTGGTGTGTGTTGTGTATGTGTGTGCATGAGTGCATGTATGTGTGTGCATGAGTGCATGTATGTGTGTGCATGAGTGCATGTATGTGTGTGCATGAGTGCATGTATGTGTGTGCATGAGTGCATGTATGTGTGTGCATGCGTGCATGTGTATGTGCGTGTGCATGAGTGCATGTGTGCGTGTGTGCGTGTGTGTGCATGTATCCTGCAACACCATGCATCTCGCTGCACGTTACTTCCCAACAGTCGTCTGCGCCACCCCAATGGTACTTCTCCTTTTCCTCCTCGCACTCCAGCTATCTTGCTTCACGCGCCTCTCTCCTCTGTCCCCTTCCTTGTTCTTCCCTTGCCCCATCCCCCCTTGCCATCGCGTGTACCCCATCGTGCATTCATCCTGCTGTTTGCACCGTGCTTCTCGCACAGCGCTCACAAACACCCATCATCTCCCCTTCGCCCATCTAATCCATTCCGTTCCATTTCTTCACCCATAATGTCCCTCCTTCCCCCCCAACCTCCCCCCCCTCCCCCAGTGCTGCTATTTATGGGGGCGTGCGTGCAGGCGCCGCAGGTGTGCATGGTGACGGAGTACATGCACATGGGGTCGCTCTACCGCATCATCCACTCGCGCGAGCCAGGGCAGGGCGGCGAGTCGCTCAGCTGGAAGCGCCGCTACAAGATGCTCCGAGACATCTGCAGGTGGGGGAGGGGAGACGGGTGGGAAGGAGTGAAATTGCGTGGGATGGGTGGTACGCTGTGTGTGTGTTGTTGAGGCGGTTTTGAGCATCTACCATGGTGATATGGGTAGTTGGACATAGCTTAAGCCACTGCATAGTTCCCCCCTGCCAGCCCCCGTGTTATCAATCCTCAGCGTCGGCAACCATCTGTTCCCCTCCACCTCTTCCCCTCCCTCGTTTCTCTCTCCATCTCTTTTCCGCCACCAGGGGCATGCTATGTGTGCAGCGCATGAGCATAGTGCACCGGGACCTCAAGTCCGCCAACTGCCTGGTGGACAAGCACTGGTGCGTCAAGATCTGCGACTTCGGCCTCTCCCGCCTCGCCCCCGACGGGCTCGTGCTGGGGCGCACGGCGGCCGGCACGCCCGAGTGGATGGCGCCGGAGCTGCTGCGCAACGAGCCGTGCTCCTTCAAGTGCGACGTGTTCAGCATGGGCGTCATCATGTGGGAGCTCGTCACCTTGCGCCGCCCCTGGGAGGATGTTAAGAACCCACTCGAGGTGAGGGGGGAGGGCATAAGGTGGAGGGATGGGATGGGAGGGAGGCAGGGCGGGAGGGGAGGGGGGGAGGGGGATAGGGGGAGTGAGGGGATGGGAGAGTGGGAGAGGGGGAAGTGGGGAAAGGGAATGGGCAGCGCAGCGCAGTGCAGTGGGGCGATGAGCATTTTTGGTGATTCCATTTGAACGCGAATGCGCGCCCTCCAATGGTGTTGGCATGTCCCTGTGCTCACGTGCCTGCGTGTGTGCATGTGTGCCAGGTGGCATATGCGGTGGCGCATCGCAATGCGCGCCTGCCTGTGCCGGACGGCATGCTAGGGCAGCTCATAGCAGGTACACCTCTGCTGCCCACAACACCTCAGTCCCCTGCTGTGCTTCATCTTCTCTCCAACAGCAACCTTTCTTCCTCCTGCAGCCAGCAGGCGCAAGCGCACACAAGCACAGTTCCACACACCTCACACTATTTGCATCCCCTCACGCTCTCAAAGTGAATAACCCTTGTGCGAATATTTCTTGTGTGAATTTCTCTGGTGTAAATATCGCTTAGCTCTGTGAACCTTATCTTCCAGCCCTGCCTCCTACCTGTTCTCCTCTCCATCACCTTCCTTTTCCCCGGTGCCGTGGGTGACAGACTGCTGGGAGGACGACCCAGAGAGGCGGCCCAATTTTGAGCAGATTCTGGAGAGGCTGCACGAGTGCGAGTACCTTGATGTGTGACGCATGGCATGGCATGGCACCATGGACCCGCTGTCCATGCATCATCATGCTCCATACATGCCGTACCGCTCTCATGCACATGGGTCCTCCTGGGTCCTGGGTTGTGCAAGCCTTGCGTTTTGACTCAGCAGCGACCAGACCAGAGGATATGCACGTGCACTGCTTCCCATCCCACCCGTGCAAACCACACCCTGCTTCCTTGCTGTGTCCTGCTGTCTCTAAATCCTCTCAACTAGCGGGCTAGCCTTGCCTGCTATAACCACTGCCTAGGATCTGCTGGTGTGGCACAAACAAAATAAACAGCCTCATCTACATACGGTAAAAGTTATGCAACTACCAGTATCACATTAGAGAATCTACTCCTCAGGCTTGTCAAGCACTGGGTTATGTTATAATAAGCCATTAGTGGCATCGCAAATACAAGCTATGGCAACAGAACCACCTAGTGGAACCACCTACAGAGCTGCTGCTTGATTCCAAGATTCTACGTAGGGCCCTCAGGCCCTCTGCATGCCCATGCCTTGTTCTTGCTACATCACTGCCTCCTCCCACTCCCCCACCCCCCTCCCCAAGCACACTCCCACTACTCTAGCCCTAAGCCCAGGCTCCAAACAGGTAGGGATGACAGGCCAAAACGGGATGATGACCAGGTCTACGAGCTGATGGCTTCCCTTCGCTTCTTGGCGGGGGGCACGGACAGCAGCGTCACATTGGGCCCATACAGCCACTGCCCTAGCACGGATGCCACAAACGCCCCGTTCAAATCCACGCCCTCCGCTATCCCCACCACCGTCACCCCCTGCCCCACGCCCCCTGCTGCTGCTACTGCTGCTGCTGCAGCTGCTGCGTCAGGAGTGGAGTCGGGCGGTGGGAGCGGCGGGGAGACATGCCAGTGCGGGCGCGGCGAGGGGCTGGGCGAGGATGCAATGAGGTACAGGGATGTGTCTGGTACCAGGGATGCCAGCTGCAGGGAGGGGGGGCAAGGTGGGGTGTTGGGGGACAGGCGGTGAGGTGAGGTGAGGTGCACTTGAAAATGGGCAATGGGAAGGGAGGGGTGCATGACTCAGCAATGGCAGGATGGGTGATGAATCAAGTAGCACTTTTGAATGGAAAGGTGGGTGGGTGGGTGGGTGGGTGGAGGCGCAAAGGGAAGGAGAGCAGGCAGGGCAGCGTGCTTACAATGTCGGCTGCTGAGGTTGCGGCATCGCAGGGCAGCAAGGCGAGCAGCGACGAGAGGCGCGGCGACGGCTGAAGCGGGTCCTGGTGTGATGGGCCATGTTGAATGTGGTGCATGGGGAGGACGAGGGGAGAAGGTGGGGGAGAAGCGGGAGGGATGACGAACAGGCACGGAGAGGACGGGCACAGATGGATGAGAGTTGTGAGAGGGGGATGGAGCAGGAGGGCGTGTATGGATGGATGGATGGGTCTGCATCACTGGCTCACTCTCAACCGTATGACGACAGTGGGTGCAAGTGCACAGCGACGTTAATCAGCAGTGCGTGTGTGTGTGGCAATACCTGCTCCATGGCCTCAGTCAGTCTGCCCACTGCCACCACAAGAGCTGACGCCACCGCTTCGCTCCCACCTGCACCACTCCCCTTGCCCTCCCCTTGCTCCTCCCCCTGCCCCTCCCCAATGACAGCACTTGCCATGCGCATCCCTGGCGGCAGTGACATGAGCAGCACCCCTACCGAGTACTGCTCCTCCCCGCCCTCCCCCGCTCCCTCCGCGCCCCTCACCGCCACCCCATCCACTGCGCCCCCTGCCGCTGCTCCCCCTCCCTCCGCCCACACGCACGCGCCTATGACCTCACTTCCCACCACCAGTTGCGGCACTGCTGCCAGCGCCACCCGCGCCAACCCCCGCCCGTCCGCCCCGCCCACCCCCTGCGCGCCCAGCGCCCCTGCTTTCCCCGCTTTCGGTCGCTGGCGGAAGGGCAGCAGGCGCAGGAGACTGGGGTCCGCGCGGGGCGCGCGGAGCAGCGAGACGGCGGCGAGGACGGGCCCGGACGCGAGGAACGAGTCTGCTGCAGCGCGGCACGCGGCGTCTATGGCGGGCAGCAGCGCGGCTGACGTGGCGACGCCCTGCGACGCGAGCAACCCGCCGAGCGAGGGGGAGGAGGGGGAGAGCGAGGAGAGCGCGAGGATGGTGCGCATGTCCGCGTGGGTCGGCGCGGACCACCCAGGCGGCACCACCCACGTGGGCGCCGTGGCGGAATCGCGCAGGGACGACAGCGACGCGCCTGCTGCAGCGCCGTCCGTGCCGCGGCCCCGCGTTACCTGCGCCCACGCACTCGCGAAGGGCTCTGGCAGTCGCGACGGCAGCGCTTGCAGGCTGGAAACGAGCCCTCCCGCGCCAGACGCGGAGAGCAGCGGCGCGTTGAGGCGCATGATAGCAGCAGCTGCAAGAGACGACGCGACGACCAGCGCAATGGACAGCGACACTGACACCCCCGCGGGCGCCTGCGACAGAATCGCGCCCCCGCCCGCCGCTGCTGCGCCTCTCCCCCCCGCGCTCCCCTGCCAGCCGAGCCAGTGACCCACGCCCCCGATGGACGCGACCTGCTGCGGCTTCTTCTCGGGAATGATGAGGATCTGCCCCACCTGCAGCCCGCCGCCCTCCTCGCCCTCGCGCACGCCGTTGCGCTCCGCCAGCTCCTGCCACGCCACGCCGTACCGCTCCGCGATGTCCGCCAGGCTGTCCCCCGGCATCACCATCCCCACGCGCGCGCCCGCCAGATGCGCCCCCGCTGCCCCGCCCGCGGGCCCCTGCTGCCCCGCGCTGGGCCCCCCAGCCGCTGCTGGTCCGCCTCCGCCGCCCTTGTCCGCCCCGCCAGCCGCCACCACGAGCGCGCCCCCCATGGCCTCCACGTCCGCGGGATCCAGCGGGAGCGCCGCGCCCGTTGCGCGCCTGCGCCCCGCGGGAACGCGGATCTCGTCCGCGGGCTTCACTTTAGCGAGATCGACGCCGGGGTTCATGTCCTGTAGCTGCTCCACTGTAAGGCCGTAGTCCGCTGCTAACGAGGATATCCACTCCCCTCGCCGTACCCTGTGCACCCGCCATCTCTGGTTCACTCCTTGCTGCCCCTGCGCCCGCCCCTTCTGCTGCGCCTGTGCCTGCTGTTGCTGCGGCGGCAGCTGCGGCGCCTGCTTTTGCTGCTTCACGGGCGCTGCTGCTTCTGCCGCTTTTTGCTGCTGTTTCTCCCGCGGGCCCCCTGCGCCGTCTTTCTGCTTGCCGTCCCCACCCATTCCCCGCACCAGCGCCTCGAAGAACGATGCCTCCGCTGCCGGCGCCCCTCTGCTTCCGCCAGCTCCCCCCACCACTGCGCCCGCCGCCGCAACACCCTGCGCCGGACCCCCCTTCGCCTCGCGCGCGGCACCTGCGCCCTTGGCCTCTGGCACGGCGCACACGTCGCCGCCCGCTTGGCTGCCCGAACTGGCCCCTTCCCGCCCCGCCGAGGCGGGCGGCTTGCAGATGGGCGGAGGCGCGCACACGGGCGCGGAGGCGGATGGCGCAGATGGAACGGACGGGGACGGAGAAGGGGCAGGGGAGGGAGATGGGGCGGATGGGGGGACGGGACAGAGAGGGGGCGCAGCAACGGTTGCGGCTTGACGCGCGGAAGGCTTATCGCGGGAAGCAGCTGCGGAGGCGGAAGCGGACGCTGTAGCTTCCGCCACCACCGCTGCCTTACTCCCCCCGTCAGCGCTCTTCAGCGACGCGCCACCACCCTTCGCGCTGCCGTCCCTCTCCCCTGCATCCCCTGTCGCCACCCCGCCACTCTCCTTCCCCTTCTTCTCTCTCTCCTCCTTTAACCCTTTCGACCCCGCCCCTGCCACGTCAGCCCCGCTTGCCGCCGTCGGCTGCTGACGGAGGCGGGCGGCGCGGCTCTTGGGGACGTTGATGCGCTGCTTGGGGCGCACGTTGTCGAGATTGACGCCGGGGTTGAGGCGACGCAGATACTCGATGTCCACGTCAAGGCGGCTCGCCACGTCACACACCCACTCCTTGCGCTTCAACACGTACTCCTCCACCTCGGTCCGCCCGCCCCCCACAGGCCCCCCCAGCAGCGAGTCCAGCCACGACCCGCCGGACGGGCGCGCAACCGGCTTCGTGCTGCGCGCCGATGCGGACGGCGCGGTGGGCGCGGCGGGGGGGGACGGGGCTGCTGCGGAAGGGAGGGAGGGGGAAGGACCGGGGGGAGGGGCGGTCGGAGCAGGAGGGGCGGTCGGAGCAGGGGGGGCGGTGGTTCCAGCGGGGTTTTTCGCGGAGGCAGCGGGGGCGGAGTCGGCATTGGCGGGGGCGGTGGTGGCTTGCGTGCGCGCGGCGCCGCCGGTTGGGCCGGCGGCGAAGGTGGTGGAGAGCTGCTGCGCGGCGCGGGTGAGTTCGCGCTCGATGGGATCGAAGGGCGAGGGGCGGCGCGGGACGACGAGGCGCTGGCCGGCGAGGACGCGGTCGATGTCGACGGTGGGGTTGAGCGCGCGGATATCCGCCACCGTGCAGCGCCGCTCCACGCACACGTCGTACACCCACTGGTTCTGCTTCAGCCTGCGCACGGGGATGGCAGCACGCGCGAGCGCGCACAGCCGGGAATGAAGGTTGTGTGGCAAGGACGGAGAATGCGAATGTGAAAGGGGAGTGGGGGGAGAGAGCAAGAAGGGCGAGCCTGAGGGGATCGGCATGAGGGTATGGGGACGATTGAGCGGCGCGAATAAGGTCTGCGCGGATTAACGGCCCCCAATGGCAGCGAGGAAGGCGTGACCAGAAGCCAGGTTGACTGGCAGCTTCGCGAAACGCATGCGACAATCAATGCCAGGCAGTGTCGCATCAGCTGAACCTTCAAAAACCCTCACCGAATCACTTCAGTCTTTCGCGGCGCATCGATCGCTTTGCCCTTAGCCACGACCCCGCGCATCCGTCCATCCCCTGTTTTTGCCGCCCCTCCCGGCGCTAAAGCCGGCCGCACACCCACACGTCCTCGTAACAATCGGTCGTGACCAGCGGGCGTGACTGATATTCTTTGGCCCGCAAAATCTGACAGCAGCGACACGCCCCCACGCGGAGTGCACGATCTGCTCGACCTAACAGAAAGTAACGGCGACACTAGGGAGGCGCGAGGCGCGGAGGCGAGGAAGCGCGCCGATAACGATAAGTTGTGGGGAGGACTATGGAGAGGGCGGCTTGAAGGAAGCATAGACATTTGGGAAGCCATGCTGAGGGCTACAACCTTTGGTCCTCGCTGTACGGCCTCCATAGAAGTCGATGGGGAGCTAACTGCTAACATGGCGCACATGCAGCATTCCGGCGAGTCTGCAGAGGACGGAGCTGAAAGGACCACTCAAATAAGCGACAATCTGCGCCTGCCTCTATGATCGAGCTGAACTAATGTGTCAGATGATAGGAGAAATCAAGGCAGACCAGCAGACAAGCTCGAGGTGCGGTTGAGTTGAAAATGAGAGCAAGACGACAGAGGTCAAGTTTATGGCGGGAGAGGGGTGTTGATGGGCTGGTTGCTGGAGTGCTGCTGCCGCTTTGTGCGCTTGTAACGAAGCTCAAAATGTGCTTATGACGAGCAATACGACGCCGCGCGATGGCCTGGTTCCTTCGTGCGTGCGACGCTGACAACTGATGTGTGCCCAGCCCAGTGCGTCTGCCGCACGATCACGAGAGACGGGCTGAAAAGATCGTTCTTGTACGCGTTATCACATTTAGCTTGCCCAATTAGGATAAGTGATTATCACAAACATTCTATTGTTATCATAACAATTCCGGAGGTACTAGTCCAACTAGTGATTGTTCACTTCAATTCTACTCATCAAACCACATTGAATGAGAGTTGCGCCGCTTTCATGAATGTTGGAACATGTACAAAAAATGTCAGGCAAACAAATTCCCAGGCACAAGACCAAGCCCATGCCTAGTTAAAGCTCAATTAGATGACATAGTCCAGCACAAACTCATCCCCGCCATTCCCTTTCCCATCACCTTTCCTCCTCACTATCTTGGCAGGGTTGCCGACCACAGTGGCTTCTGCCTCCACGTCTGTCAAAACCAGACTACCCGCTCCCACCTTCACCCGTTCGCCCAGAGTCACAGGACCTAGGATCCGGGCCCCAGCACCAATGACTGAACCCCTACCTACGCGTGGGTGGCGAATACCAGCAATGGCGCCAGTACCGCCAAGCGTGACATTGTGCAGCATCGACACTTCGTCTCCGACAACAGCGGTCTCGCCAATTACCACTCCCGTTGCGTGATCCAGCATTACCCCTTTGCCTATCTGCGCGGCGGGGTGGATATCCACCTGAAACACCTCCGACATGCGGTTCTGGAGCGCCATTGCCATACTGTATCGACCCTGCTGCCACAACCTGTGCGCCGCGCGGTAAGCCTGCAGAGCAGCAAATCCCTTGTAATTCAAGAAGCAAAGGAGGAAGCCGTCGCATGCCGGATCCTTCTGCCGCACCGCCATCAAGTCAGCCCGGATGGCGGCTTGAATGCTGCGGTCATCAAGAAACATCTCCCTGAAGAGCTCGAACAGGTGCGAGGCGAGCAAGGTGGGCGACGAGAGCTTGTTGGCAATGTGCGCAGCGAGCGCTGGTTCCAGCGATCTGTGAGTGAGCACGGTGGAGTACAGGTAGCTCGCTAGAGCTGGCTCTTCCTCCGCAGCCGCACGAGCCTCGGCACGAATCTGCAGCCACACATCCTCTTCCATCAACGCCGCAGCACCGTCCCTCTCCAAGCCCTCATTTTGAGGAGGCGTGGCCAGCGAGCCATTCAACTCCGCCTGTCCCACAATCGCGGCTAATCGTGGAGCTGGGTCCTGCGAGCTCGATACACCGGGAGGCAGCGCGGGACGAGAATCGGACGCAGCCGACGGAAGCAGCAACTGCGCGGAGCGAGGGACGGTGACGGGAATCAAGTGGCCCGAGTTGATGCCGAAGGCGGCAGCCCAATCGGCCTCCGACATGGTTCCGACCCCCACCACCAGCTTGCCCTCAGGAGAGTACTTCAGAATAGGTGCCGCTGTCGCCAGAGACAGGGCCGGCAGAGGATCAGTTTGGCGATTAGCCGAGGGAGGTGGATCATCCGCAGGTGGACCATTCGCCCTGTCTGCTTGGCGGGTGATGATTGACGACTTGGTGTCCGTCGGCGGGCAATCCGTCACGGTAGCCTTGAGAGATGGTGCCAGAGGTGCACGAGAGGAATTCGGATTTGAGACGAAAGGCGTGCTTGGGGGAGAAGAGCGCGACGGCTGCGACGATGACGATGACGATGAGGCATGGTTGCTGGTCACACGTGATCCCACCGACGCGGATACGGTGACTGGTGTTGTCTGTCTTGACGAGTTCACGAGGAAATTGAACGATGCTGCGTGACCAGCCGTGCACGTGTGAGTCATGCTCAGCGAAGCCATGGTACTGCTCGAGGAGACAATCGCAGGCAGAGAAACAACCAAAATCGGCCCAACCCCAAACTCAGCTTTCACTGCCGAAACCCTAATGCAAGGCAGTGGCAATTGATCTAGCCGATCGCTGGAGAGGCGATGGAGTAAAAGGCACAGAATGAGGAGTTTCCTTGTAACGAAAAACCTGGAGGCTGTCAGAGCACGAACTCTACTGACACAATGGTCAAGCCCAATTGGGAGATGGGAGTGGATGAGAGAGGATCGAGGAACTGCGAGGGTAACGTCTAAAAGCAGGCCGGAGAGAGAGGTAGGGAGGGGATGCGTGCGAGGGGAGGCGAGGGCAGGTGAGGAGCGGAGGTGAGGGGAGGGCGAAAAAGCGGGAATAGGGGGGCCAAGCAACACGTGGACGCACGGCAGGATTTGTGTGGTTTGTGCGCCAGAGGCGAGGAACCAGAGGGGTTGGAGATCGGCGAGATGATACAGCTGGGCTCTGACGGACGATCAGGGTGGATGACGGCTGAGGTAAACCAATCAAAGTTTGCAGAGCTCCCAACTGGAGGCTGGTTCAGAAATAACTGGAGGCTTGATGTGAAGATTTTGGAGATTGCGCGGTTCTTCCTCCATGAAATACACGCGGTCGCACCGCAAACTGGCAAGGGGTCTGGGCAGGAGAGCCACACCTCCCCTGACTACGTGGAGTCGCAAGGGCAGAGCAGTGTACCGGAATATTCCAGACGCGTGTTGAGGGTTTGATGGGCGACTGGCGAAAGGGTGATGAGGTGTTGGCGAAACATCCCGGAATGGATGGACGGCTTGGAAGGTGCGCGACAGGTACGGGCTCTAGGGTGGCTCTCAGACGCTTCGCCATAAGTGCTATCACCGTCACGCCGTTCGTCACGTGCACATTTTTCTGCTAAAACACATCTATAGAATGGCTGACCAATATCTCTGTGTCCTCCATTTGTTACGGGTGCAATGAATCGAAGTAGCGAGAATTGCACTAAGGTGTCAAACGAGTACAAAATGTGAGCGAAGGCATGAGCGAACATTTATACGCGAAACATGCAAAACGGTAACGCGGTGCGTGCGAGCTTGCTAGTGCTACGCTGGAGCGAGGCTCGGGCTAGTCCCGAAGCGTAGGCCGATACGGCCATGCCAGCAGTGCGAGGGTTGGCAAAACAGTGCGCGCGAAGTCAGCGAAGTCCCGTTAGCAGTAACGGGCGAACAACGGCTGTTGCTGTACGCGATGTAGTCGGCTCCGTAAGGAATGCCGAGAAAATTCCTTACACTACCCCCCCCCCCTTAAGAAGCCCCCTCCGCTACGCGAGTGCGTGTATATCACGGAATCCCCGGCTCCTCAGGTACACTTGCAGGGCAGGGTGTTTTTCAATGTTGGTCAGGGGTACCCAGCTATCTTCAGTTGGCGTGCGGTCCTTCCAGCGAACGAGGAATTCAATCCTCCTGATTCCCGTGGGGTGGCGGATCCGATGGCTCAGGATTTTTTCGGGCTCGATGATCGGCTCCGATGCAGGGCGAGTCATTGATTGTGGGCGGTGACGCGGCAGTCGACTTGTGGTCGGGATGTATGGGCGAAGTAGGCTGACGTGGAACGAAGGGCTGATGTACCAGACGGTTGGCAACAGTAGATGTGCGGTGACGGGTGTGATCATGTGACTGATTTGGAATGGTCCACAGTAGCGCGGTCGTAATTTCGGTACGTCGGGCAGTCGCAGATTTTGCGTGTCGAGCAGCACGTAATCTCCAGATTGATACGTGACAGGGCGTCGGTGGCGGTCAGCGTTGCGCTTAGCGATGACGTTGGCTTTTTTTATTGCTTCGGCGGCTCTGGTGCGGGCAGCTTGCAGGATTTCGGCGAATTGTTGTGCACGTGGCGTTGGGTTGTCCGGACTCGGCGTCATGGGCACTGTGGGGTTTTGCCCATAGTTCAGGTAGAACGGGGACTGCTGCGTCGTGGCTGACGTGGCGTTGTTGTACGCGAACTCGATCAGCGGCAGCTGCTGCTCCCAGGCCGTGGGGTCGTCGCACGTGGCACGAATCAACTGCTCCATCGTCTGATTCGTCCGCTCCGTTTGGCCGTCGGTCTCGGGGTGGTACGACGAGCTGAACTGTAGTCTGGTCCCAAACTGCTCCCAAAGGTTCTTCCAGAAGTTGCTGGTAAACTTCGTGTCCCTGTCGCTTATAATCGCTGCTGGTATCCCGTGCAGGCGAACAACGGCTGCGATGAACAGGCGAGCGGTCTCCTCGGCTGAGATCGACTTTTTGCACGCTGCGAAGTGTGCCATCTTCGTCAGTCTATCCACGACGACCATCACCGCGTCGTTACCCCCAGGGTTCGAAGGTAACCCTGTGACGAAGTCCATGGTTACTTGCTGCCAGGCGCGTTCGGGCGGTGGGATCGGCTGCAATTGACCCGCCTTCCGCTTCCTTGAACTCTTCATCACCTGACACGTAGGGCACGAGCCCACGTGCTGCTGTACGTCGGTCAACAGCTCCGGCCAGTAGTAATACCGCTGCAGTTGCTGTCGTGTTTTTTCTACCCCGAAATGTCCCGAGGTAATCCCGTCGTGTGCCTCCTGCAGTAGCAGCTCCCTCAGTAGTGAGTACGCGGGTATCCAAATGCGGTTGGTGCCTGTTTTTACGTAATAGACTCCTTTTGCTTCTGCCATTTGCTGTGAATTTCCGGTCGTGAAAAATGGGTCCGTGCGGTATCCGTGGGTGAATAGGCCAGTTAAAAGCGGGTTGGTCTGGGCGAGTAGGATGGCGTGGAGTTGGGCGGTGGGGCGGGTGAGAGCGTCGGCGATGTTGGATGCTCCTTTTTTGTACGTAACGGTGTAGTGAAAATTGGACTCAAGATAGTCCAACCAGCGAATCTGTCGTGGGTTGAGATTCGGTTGGGCGCGAAGGTACTGTAGTGAGCGGTGGTCTGTTCGTACTGTCACGTCGGCGCCAGTCAGGTAACACCGCCAAACTTTGAACGCGTGTACGATCGCCAGCATTTCACGGTCGTGTATCGGGTAGTTGCGTTCGGGCGGGTGTAGCTTGCGGGACTCGTACGCGATTGGCTGGAGGCCATTCCCGAAGTCCTGCAACAGTACTGTGTCAGAACATATCTATAGCTTATACTGCTGTGTAGGCTGTAGTGGGGTATCCCATAGGGGGTACAACCCAGTTAGGGTTTCATATTTGTACTGCTTTCATTCATAGTTCATTTATTCCTGTTTTCCTATTTTCACATGGTATAGAGCGGGTCCTACCTTAGGACCGTTGTCTGGGCCCACCGACGCGCGCCCCGAGGCGCGCCCTTTTTTTTTTAGCGACCCCTCGGGTCGCCTTTTCACTCGCGGCCCCGCCGCCTCCTCTGACGCGGCTTTGCCGCCTCCCCTGACGCGGCCCAGCCGCCTCCCTTGACGCGGCCCCGCCGCCTTTTTTAACGCGGCCCCGCCGCCTCCCTTGACGCGGCCCCGCCGCCTCCCTTGACGCGGCCCCGCCGCCTCCCCTGACGCGGCCCCGCCGCCTCCCCTGACGCGGCCCTGCCGCCTCCCTTGACGCGGCCCCGCCGCCTCCCTTGACGCGGCCCCGCCGCCTCCCCTGACGCGGCCCCGCCGCCTCCCCTGACGAGGCCCCGCCGCCTCCCCTGACGCGACTCCGCCGCCTCCCCTGACGCGGCCCCGCCGCCTCCCCTGACGCGGCCACGCCGCCTCCTCTGACGCGGCCCCGCCTCTGCTGCCGACGGCCCCGCCGCTGCACTCTACGGCCCGCCGCTGCACCCTGCCGGCCCGTCGCTGCTCCTGCCGGCCCGCCGCTGCACCCTGCCGGCCCGCCGCTGCTCCTGCCGGCCCGCCGCTGCACCTACCGGCCCGCCGCTGCACCCATCGGCCCGCCGCCTCTTACGGCCCGCCACTTGCACCTGCCGGCCCGCCGCTGCACCTGCCGGCCCGACGCTGCACCTGCCGGCCCGACGCTGCATCTCCCGGCCGAGCCGCCCCAGCAGCCGAGCCGCCCGGGACCCGGGCCGCCCTGCCGCCGAGCCGCCCGGGAGCCGAGCCGCCCTGCACCCGAGCTGCCCAGCCGCCGAGCCGCCCGGGAGCCGAGCCGCCCTGCGCCCGAGCCGCCCAGCCGCCGAGCCGCCCGGGAGCCGAGCAGCTGTGCACCCGAGCCGCCCGGTCGCTGAGCCGCCTTTCTGCTGACTGCACGACCTGCCCTGCCTGGTGAGCACTGTCCCACTGACACTGCGAGCTCTTTCCCTACTGCTTGCACTGCGTCGCTGTCGTCACCATGGCTACCCCTAGTGTCCTAGCTTTTGACGCTGAGGGTCGCGCCATTGATTTTGAGGTCTGGTTAGACGACCTGCAGCTGTTCTTACAGTGCGACAGGGCTGACGACCTTTCTCTCTTTGACCTCACCTCTGGCGCCTCTCCTGCCCCTGCTGCTGATGCTGATCCCGCTGTCCGCTCTAAGTGGGCCACCCGCGATGCTGCTGCACGTCTTGCTGTGCGTCGCCACCTCCCTACCTCTGAGCGTGCGCACTTTAGTCAGTACAAGAGTGCTCAGACCTTGTACGACGCTGTAGTTGCGCGCTACTCCTCCCCTGCCACTGCTGCACTGAGCCGTCTCATGCTTCCCTACCTCTTTCCTGACCTCTCTGCCTTTCCCACTGTCGCTGACCTCATTACGCACCTCCGCACTAGTGACACTCGCTACCGCGCCGCCCTTCCTGCTGAGTTCTGCGCTAAGAACCCCCCCCCCATGTACATCGCTCTCTACTACGTAGTCGCGCGCCTCCCTGACTCCCTTCGCGTCGTCAGGGACCACTTTCTCGCAGTCTGTCCCACCACTCTCACCGTCGACCTCCTCGAGAAGGCCCTCCTTGCAGCGGAGAAGAGCATAGTCGCTGTAGGTGCTTCTCGTGGTGACCCTCGCACCCCCATCTTTGAGGGGTGCTCTCCTTCCCCCTTGCTGCCCTCTGTTGCCTCTGCTGCTGCTGCCGA